CCCTATTGGGTTTTCCAGGGTAAAGGAACCTAAACCCTAAGGTAGAGGAAGGAATCTGTCAGGTTCTCTCCTATATGTGGCTTGAATCCGAAGTATTACCAGGACCCAGAAGCAGCAATATGGCATCAACATCAACATCAGCAACAACACCTTCTTCTTCTTCTTCCTCCTGTTCCAATTCAAAGAAAGGTGGGAGATCAGAGGTGGAACACAAACTGGGGGAGTTCTTCATGCATCAAATCGCTCACGACGCTTCTCCAGCATATGGTGGAGGATTCATGGCTGGTAATGCTGCTGTCAACAAGTATGGTTTGCGTAGAACCTTGGATCACATTCGTCTTACTGGGAACTTCCCATTGTAAGAGCACTCATCAGCTGTTACTTATCAACCAACCCTTTCACAGTCTAGCACTTTCATCCACAAAACAAAAAGGATTTGAGCTTATCACAGAGTTTGCAAAAGCTCCCCCTTCCATTTTTATGGGGGTATACAACGTCCACAGTGCACTATCTCTACTCCATAACAAGCATTTGCTACATTTTGTTGTTCTTTGCTTAGTTGAAACTTATTTAAAATTAATATAAGGCTCCTATATTGTTGTTCTTTGCTTAGTTGAAACCTTACTGGAAGTTATACCAGAATAATCAGTGATGAAGTATTTGTAATATATTGTTTAATCGTAGTTCAACCATTTCGTACCGCTAAAACTACTTATCAATTTGAGATCTGGTACTCAGTATTTGCAGTCCGATTAACCGATATAGAACGATTTCTAAAATATTGCATATTTTACGCGTTATATATTTTTTTTCTTTCCTACTATTATTGAAACAGTTTTTGTACTAAATTCATAGAGAACCAAAGATTATATGCATATCTTTTAATTACTTTGTATGTGAAATTTACATTATCCGGTCACAAATAATCCCTGCATATATGACAAATTATGAAACGAAAACCTCAACATGAGGTCCTCCAAATTTTGTTTGCTAACGAAAAAAAGGAATAAGTCATTTGATTCCATCGAAAAGCTCAAATGAATGTTTCGGCATTCATTTGTGAATGACTCATTTTTTTCAGACTATTTTCCACTCATAATTTTGACTTTTTTATAAGTAAATACTAACATTCTCTATTTTGCATTCACAAAACCAATACTTTCCAATTTTTCCAATAATACTTTTCAATATTCTCTAGTATAATAGCCGTAATTATTTTGAAATTGATTTCAAATATATACTTGGTTGCAAAATTATTTAGTGTGGAGCCATTACAATTTGTAAAGCAAGATAACATAAAATATTATTCAAAATTAGAAAAGCAATAGTATTCAACTAATAATTTATATTGATTGCAAAATAATTTTTGTTTATGGTTGGTTTATTGAGATAATAAATAAAACATATAAAATGTAAAGACAAAATAACTCGACTAAATTTTTTTATACATCATCAAATATCTATATTTTCTAAATATTTAATAACTTATTTTTTAAATATGGCATTGGCAATAAACCGATACAAACAAGAAACAACTCTTATTTCCTGCTTTCCATGCTTCAACTAGTTTAAAATTTGATTGACAAACTTAATTAGGACGGCGGATGCCGGTATGAAAACAGGAAATGAAAAAAAGAACAAAATGCAAGCAAATCTAGGACCGGCCTTGGCTTGAAGAAAAAGCCACCCTATCATCACTGCTTTCGTCATTTATAAATAAAACAACATAAAAGAATTAATCACGTATTCACGTACCAACATTAAAATAATTCAACGGAAAAAAAATATTAAAATACCGGGGTAGAGGAAATGAGATGACATCGTGAACTCAGACAGAAATGGGCCATAGCTGGCCTATGCTCGTGGCTATATATAATACAAGTCTCACCATTCTCTTTTCTCCAACTCACTCTTCTCAAATCCCCAAATTCATAAACCCTAGAAAACTGTAAACCAAAGATCGAAGATGGCAGCCGCAGGTGTGACGGAATTCCTGCCCAAGGAGTACGGCTACGTGGCTCTGACACTGGTGGGCTACTGCATCCTGAACATTTGGATGTCGATCCAGGTCGTCAAGGCTCGCAAGAAGTACAATGTCCCTTACCCGACTCTCTACGCCGTCGAGTCGGAGAACAAGCAGGCCTCCCTCTTCAACTGCGTTCAGGTGGGTTATCTTTACTCTTGGCGATGTTCAGTTTAATTGATTGATTGCTGATTTGGGTTCGGAATTTTTGATTGGGCAGAGAGGGCACCAGAATTCGCTGGAGATGATGCCGGTGTTCTTTATGCTGATGGTGTTGGGCGGACTGAGGCACCCCTGCATCGCCGCCGCTCTCGGCGCTTTCTTCATCTTCACCCGCTACTTCTATTTCTCCGGCTACGCCACCGGCGATCCCAAGAAGCGTCTCACCATCGGTAAATACGGGTTCTTGTGTATCTTCGGGCTGATGGGCTGCACCATTTCCCTCGGCATCACTCTCCTACGAGCATAGAGATTTTGATTGCTGTTCATGGGTGTACTCTCGTAGTATCTAAAACTATGTATCTTTGTTCTCCTGGTTTTACTAATTGACAGCCTTGTTTTGAGTACGTCTTGAAATGCGACTTGAGTTTGACTACTTGCTGTTTCCTACCTAGCTTTCTGTCCAATTGCTATCCCAGTTCTCTCACAGAGCTTCACTGCAAATAGCCATTACAGCACTTCCTCCTGTGCTTGAATTGAAGCCTGAATTTTCTGATCTGGACATCCCATACTGCCATGTTGTTAGATGATCTGCAGGGTAACAAGTCTGTCATCAGCAGTCATATGAATGAAGAGCAACAATAATTAAGAATTAAGATTAACCGAGATGTTGTTGGTGTGCTGAATTGTTAAATTTTTAGTGTTGCTTAAGGATTAACTATGATAGAAGTCAACTTATTAGTTACCATCCATCAGGACTCAGGAGAGTCATACAAGTAAGGTGGAGTAAGTTCATGTTTGACTGTTTTAGGCACGGATGCTTCGATCTGCAGGACTCTGCTTCCTGCTTCCCATGTCTCAACTGGATACCCCAATCTCCATACTGTGCCTCCACATCAAATATGATGACGAGGAACCCGAATGGGTTTTCCTGATTCAACTGAGTAGAATCTCCCCACCTCCATTTCCAAGGTCAAACCATCCAGGACAGGTTAAAGTTTTGCTTGTTTGACAGATTTTTCGCATATTAACTCGCCAAGCTCCTAAAGATCATGTGCGTGAACCAAAAACATAGGAGACCAAAAACATACTTTGAACTTTGAAGAAGCTTGTGTCCCAAGAAATTCATCCTCCGGCTGCTTTGAAACATTATATCTTCTCATTTTAGCTATTTTGGTTTTCTCTGTTCTCTTAAACAGTAGATAACAGAACCCAATGCATATAGAAATATCTTTACCTGCTTCCATCCACTGTTTCATATGTGCAATAACTTCAAACCTACAGCGGGTTTAAGATATAGATGCAGGCATTACAGAAGAGGTTAGTATTGAATCTCAAACTCAGATTAAGAGTTGGATATGGGCTTAAGAATTCGAATGACTTCCTAGCAAAGGTTCATGCTTCAACACGAAGAAGAGTGAGGAGCATTCTAGAAGATTCCGAAAGAGTATGGAGACCGGTAGGTATTTCCATGAAAAATTCTAGAGTAGATTTTTTATTTTACATGGTTATAGGAATAGATCTCGACTCCTTTTATATTCTAATTTAGTAAACTCTTGTTGTGCATTCGACTTGGACCTAAAAAATGTGACTGTATTTGGATGTTATCAAAATTAAATTTTTTAATAATGCAAATAATTAGCGGAGTGAATCATAATATATTTATGCAGAAACAAATAATGATTTCATAGATAATATAATTTGAACAAACAAATTGTACTACTATTTTAGTTTACATATATAGTTACGAATCCAAAATTACGGGAGGAATCTAAAGTTAACAAAGATGGGAAATAATGAGATTAAGTAACTTTCTTAGGTAATTTGTTCCCTTTTTTTCCCCAAAATTGCTCTATGTGTTCTGGATCAGAACCTCATATTTGTGATACCAATGTGATCTTCCAAGCCAATAAATAAAAAAGGTAAATCTATTATGGCTTTCTTAGCTAATTTGTGACATTGAAGGATATTTTTCTTTCCCATTCATAGACTCTAGAATCTGGAATTTCTTTCCCCCTTTTCAACACTCGTAGCGTACTTTATCCAGCCACAAAGATTTCCTGCAAATATGACCAGAATACGAGATACACAAGACGATAACTGCAAAGATTGAGATCATTGAAGACTTGTCTGGATTAAATAGTAAGGGGCTACTAATACTGTGAAGGGTAAAGGGTACACTTGATATTCAGTTTTCCTTCTGAACTATCTGCAGACTACATGGGGTGAAAATGAGATTTCTCAGCAGCAACAATGCAACAATGCAAAACTAGTTGCTATGAGACCAGTGAAATACATTTTTGAGGAAATTATGAGATTAAGCAACTTTCATACGAACAATCACTGAAGCTATGATGTTCTATAGTCTATGCGTAGTATATTTCGTAGCCTACTTTCTCCGATCACAAAGATCTCCTGCAAGTATGACAATATACACAAAACGAGTAACCACAAAGAATGAGATCATTGAACGAAAACCACCATATATACAAACTTGAAGTGTGAGTACCATGTGGTTAACAAATTGGGTCACTGGAACTCAAACATTAGAACTTTCGGTCACAAAAAGTTCTAAACAATGTTGAGAACCCGTTGATCGTAATGAATCTCATATGTGACTTTGCTAGAGTAAATAATAAGGGGCTACTGTGAAGGGTAAATGGTACACTTGATATTCAGTTTTCCTTCTAAACTATCTACATGGGGTGAAAATGAGAGTTCTCAACAGCAACAAAGCAAAACTGGTTGCTATGAGACCAGTAGAATACATTTTGAAAGGGGGGGGGGGGGGGGGGGGGGGGGGGTGGAAACAAGGTACAACAATCAAAGATGAGCTGCCTGGTTTGCTGGGATTCTATATCGCCCCACGTTTCCCGATACGAGCAATTTATCCAGTAAGTTCCTAGAAGCTATACCGTGGCATGCAGATCAGCAAGAAGTACTTTCAAGGTTTCGTAGGTCATGAAGCAGATGCCAACACCAGGAACAACTTTATAGTACTCGGGCATAATCCCTCGATATAGACCTCGGAATCCTTCCGTCTTGATTATATGCTTGAATATCCCGAAAAGCCCTGTCGTGTAAACACGGGCTCGCCCACCTGCTCCTTCCAATTGCTTCCGTCTTCTCACAAGATCGAGAGGAAATGTTACTGCAAGATAATTCAGAAGGAATATGAAAAACAAGTAGCACTTTGTCAAGGCCATAGGCAGGAGAGAACGCAAGGGCTACATCCACCACACAACTCAATTTACTCTATCAGGTAACTAATAGTCTAGGTACGGAGGGCTAGACAACAAAGTTGGAAGGTTATGAGCATGCAACAAACGAATCAAATATAATTCAACTTACCTGTTACAGCTCGAGAACGAGATTTTCAGTTATAGCAGCTCCAGCTGCACTGCAGCTCATGATTAGTGAAGTATCATGTTTGACAGAATATTCATAAATTCAGAGGTAAAACCAGTTTAAGAAGGCCAACTATTCTCATCTAAGCATTTTGAACATCCGTGAGCACCTTCCAAGCAGTTATTGATATAATAACAGCCGGAGAAACCCCCTTAAATGACCATGACCGCATGAAATTTAAAGCACAGCATCTCTACAGCTGCACTTCATACATCCATGAAGGACAATTCCACTTGCAACGCGTTTTGCAAAGGAAGCACTAGGTGAGAAGCATACACCAGTGAGGACACATCTCACATCTGCTTTGTAAAAGAAGTAAATAACAGTGCTAGTCCTCTTTCAGAGTAGTGCCACCTAGTGTGGAAAGGAACTGCCCCAAGTCATCAAAAAGGTGGTGCCAGTTAGTTTAATGAAGTTAGAAACGAAGAATTGGCACATCTCCCAATAACCTTAGTAAATTTCTCAAAATGCAAGACATTAAACAACTCCAGTCGGTCTCTGGCTCTAGGAGTCAGTGTCTGGTTAAATGATTAATGCAGAACCTGCACCACACCCTGCTTCTCTGCATCAAAAGCATGGTAAACAGGTGCAACAATTAACTTTTTGGATTTAATATGGACATCGTCTAGTAAAAAGTACTTAGTTAAACCTCTCTCCTTGTCATAAACACTACTACATCATGAGTGTAATTCTGCACATTATCAGTAACACAGGAACATAAGATAACATTTTGAGTGAAGACTGCAGATCCAGAAAACAATTCAATCACAGAAGTGCTGAGATACCGTGCAAAGAAGAAAAAGAAAGAAAGAAAGAAGAACAATTTACAAGAGCTGCAATGCAAGTATGCATATATCAATCTAGAAGATTAAGGAACCAAGGTTTAAGATCATTCACCTGTTGAGGACGCAATGCCAGAAAGACTTCCGCAAGCCAGACTGACCGCAACTGTGGGATCATCCGGTCTGTAGCAAGAAACAAGGTAGAAATATAATGAAGTGTAATCGAATATACAGACTTAGCACAAAAAAAAGGGTAAATAACAAGATAATATACTAAGCTAACTAACACACTTACCTTTGAGACTGCCACAAAGAGCGCAAGCTTTCATACACTGAGAAGCTGAGAGCGATATTTGGTCCGACACCCTGCATTGTCGAACGAACAAGGGTCAGGCATGCACCAACGGACCAGAGATTTTGACTATGACGAACTGCTGACCTAACAAGTAGCATACCAGGAGTGTGGCTCCAAGACCTTTGTAGAGCCCAAGGACACCCTCCTCTCTGCAAATTGTTTGAAGAGCATGACCAATACCTCGGTAGTATAGCACATTTGTCTGCAAGATTGGTAATCAGTAGGTATGAAAAATGAACAACCAGTAAAAAAAGAAGAGAGAATTAACGAATATCCTAATATTAACACGTTCATGGTTTTACCAGGACAATCTAGAACACAATCAACAAACATCCAAAATCAAGGCATTGATAAGATCTCAACCACCCAAACAAAGAAAAATGTATTCCGTGAAAAGAGGTTGATGCATCAGAAACGCACATAGTTGAACTACAGCTGAAGCATTTACCCTAAACCAAATACTTCTTCACAACATTGGATGTTCTCCACATTCACCAACAGAAACCTATGCAAACAAATGAAATAGATTGGAACGGCAAGGCGACTATCACTCACCTGAGCTGCAAGGCGTGTTCTCACAAGGTCCAAAGGATATGTAGTTGTTGCTGCTGTAATTCCTGCCATACCACCACCTAGGAAATGAACAAATACGTCTCCCCCTATCCTCTCTTTGTGACTCTCTAGTCCAGGTATCATATGCAGCAACTGCAAACTCAACACACAAACTTCATCAACTCTTACCCAACAGAAGATAAATGATGAGGATAAGATAAACAGGGAATCCAATGAATGGGAATATCGTCGGAGCTGACCTTCTTATAGTGCTCATATGCATAGAAATTGACAGATGAATAAGGCAAACGATGAGCAATAGTGACAAGGTTGCCTTTCCAAAAAGCTCTAACTCCTTCCTCCCTCACAATCCGAGAAGCCTCGTGCCATATGCTGGCCTTTTCCAAAGTTGCAACATTTGAGTGCATCCCTTGTATCTAGTGAAAACCCCATGAAAGAACGGAACTTTAGTGAAAGAAACATCAAAGGGTAGCTATTATTGGAATAGGGAACAATCAGAAGCTCAATTACAATCCGGGAAAAGGGGGGAAGAACACCCACTTGGAAAAGAATGGTGAGACGGGCCAATGGAGCGGTGCAAGTCTTGCTAAGAGCCCCGGCCAACCCACCGGCGAGAAGCTGCGAAACAGTTCCGATCTGCGAATGTTGTTGCTGTTGCCGAATAGGCGGCTGCTTATTCGAATTCAGAGCCCTTGGGCCTCCTCCTTCGACCACCACTCCCACTCTCGCCTCCGTCTGCATCTCTGTGTTTCCACGCTGATTTCACTTACCGCTAGCGCTCCTCTTGCTTGCTTCAGCTGAACGCGTCCGAATATTCGAACGCGCAAATCGTCGAACACAAAATGTACAATTCAAATTCTATCCCAAAACGAAAACGCCTAGATCACAATAATGAACCGAAACCCCGCAGCTTCATTCCGCCATTAAACGGCCAAATCCGAGCCCTTAAAGCATGAACCTAAACGCGAAGCTTTCTCGGTTTCGCCTTCGTTTTTTTCTTTTTGGAGAGGTTTGCTCTGGGTGCCAGAAGAGAGAGAGAGAGGAGAGAGCAACAAGGCTACGAAATCAAAAGTTTGGCAGCTTGACGAAGAAGCCAACGAATGCTGCCGAGTTCGACCACCACAGGTACCAAAACGTCGTCGTCTTTCGAAACCACCCACCATACCAACAAACTATTTGCAGGAGTTGCCGGTTTTGAACTTTAACGAACCGACTTCCATATACTCCCCTGCGGTCAGCTCCATCGTCAGCGGTGCTGCACCGCGGTCATCCACCGTTGATTAGCTGTGCTAAGTGGGGCCGACAAGCCTCTTGGTCGTGATTGTCGACAGTGTACGTGACGTGGCTAGATGTGGTTGGTTGCTCGGAATGCGGAACGGGAAGGGTGTTCCGTGCTTGAAAAATATTCTATTTCCCGATGCTAGTAAAGCGTGCGGGCTCCGCTACAATTTGACAGCTGTGTAACTCTTTAACTTAGTACCAGTCTAGAGCTGCCACGTGGATTCCTCTGTGTAGAACTTCGGCGGCCGTGAAACATGCTTTGTATACTTCGTATACTAGCGTGGCCCCGGCCAGTTGGCCGGAGGAAGGTGAGGTATGAAATTTGATAATGTAATGGGGTGTATAGTTTATTATTGTATAGTTTTTTTGGAAATACGTGATAAAAATAGTGAATTTTAGTAGGAAAGAGACATGAATGATCAACGAATCAAAAATCAGCCTTATGAACCAAAATCAAGTACCTGTTACCTTGTGAAATAATATTGTTTTTGATAATATGATTAGGTGGAGTAAGTTTTATAGAAACTGAATTCCAGAAAATCGAATAAAATCTCGCATATCCCGCCGGTTTTCGGGAAATGAGCATCTCACAATCGTTGCTAGCTTTTACTCGGCCCGTTGGCCGATTAATTTGCTTTATAAAACTTTCATCTTGTCATCATTGTGCTTTCTGGTTTTTGCCAAGCCATGATAAAATCTAAAGAAATTAAGAATGAACAACACGATTTGGGATAGGAACCGCCCTTCCTGTATCCCTAGAAAATGGTGGTAAACACGGACTCACCTGCCAAACTGGTTTGGATTGAGATTTTTATCGGGTATCAGGGAACCATGTGATTATAAATTAGACTTGATCAAAACGGGCGGAAACTTGAAATTCAGCCTGTTTGACTGACCCATGCCAAACTCTAATTATTCTTTACTTTTAAACTTTCTATTTGAAAATAACAAATAATGAAAGAAAAGAGATGACTGCAATTCGTCATTTGCGCATCACTAATTCGGGAATAAAACTATAGAATTTCGAAAGAAAGCTAAATATGTTAGGATAGTTTTAATGGTAAAAATAACCAAATAGATATTTCTGTTTATTTTTTACTAACAAATACCAAACGATTCCCCATAAAACACACTATAATTTAATAATTATGATATCAAATAATTACATAATATATATTTGAAATGATAAAAATTGGACTAATTGGGTAGGTCGAGGTTGAACCATTGAATAACTTTAAAATACATGATATTTTAGCCACTAAGATATAAAATAATAGCATAATATATATTATGCTAGAGAAAATAACTTGTTATAGAATGACAAACCCATGATGTTCATATGTTTTACTTGATGGACAAATCTCGTGTAGGTCAGGCCCATTCAACTCTTTTATTTTATGGTTAGCGGTTAGCCCATTAGAATCCATGCATTAGTTTGTTGTTAAAAAAATTTTCTTTTTAGCAATAAAAAGGAGTATTGTTTTTCCCTTTTCATATATATTTTACCACCATGGAGAAATAAATGGACTTAAAGGAAAAAATTGACACTCCTGGACCCGTTTAAATCCGCATGTGTACGGTAGATAGCCCGTTCCATAGAGTGAAAAAAATTGGCACTCCCTATTCTACCCTTCCTACAAACGCTCTTGGAGCAGGAAATTTGAAATGGGGAAGGCTTTTTTCCTCTCTGCTATTATATGTTTTTAATTTAAAAAGATACGACAAATGTACTTGGTGTGATTGGTTATGATGTTTGCTTTTCTTTAAAGTGGTCATGGTTTGAATCCTAGTACGTGTCTTTTTAATGAATAAAAAAAAGTAATTGTGAAGACCAAAATGTCCTTCCTACTTTCACTCTGGATGCAGGAAATTTGAAATGGGGCTTCAAGTTTTCTCATTTGGCTTTTATTTATTGTGTAGATTTTTAATTTAAAAAGATACGACAAATGTACTTGGTGTGATTGGTTATGATGTTTGCTTTTCTTTAAAGTGGTCATGGTTCGAATCCTAGTACGTGTCTTTTTAATGAATAAAAAAAAGTAATTGTGAAGACCAAAATGTCCTTCCTACTTTCACTCTGGATGCAGGAAATTTGAAATGGGGCTTCAAGTTTTCTCATTTGGCTTTTATTTATTGTGTAGACTTGGGCCAATTTATCACACGAGTAAAGGGCTTTTCGGCTTTTTAACGTTCTACTGGGCCAGATAATTAGCTGAATGGCCTATGCGCGGAAGTCCAGTACAGAACCAGGCTCAGTGCTGTGATTCCTGGCTCGTATCGTAGCCAAGGCCAAGCCCGGTGTAAAATTACAACTATGGCTCTCGAACCTTTTTATCTTACACAATTAACACAAAATAACAGTTCATCTACAAATCAGCACGAGAATTTGGGGCATTTCAGTTCTTCGAAAGCACAGAATTTTTCAATCTTCGTTCACTGGCTATACCACCGGTTGCTGCTACCGCAGCCGGTGAATCCATGATGCTCGACGCTAGGATTCGCCGCCGTGCTGACTTTGAAAGGCCACGGAGATGGATTATTGACTGGGGAATTTGCTGTACGAGGCAGACCCAGAGCCAACGAGACGCTGTCGCTCGAAGAACAGTCAACCAACCCAGCATCTTCCACATCCACCTGCCTCTGCTGCCTCTGGTTGTTTCTCGACCGTTTGCTTCCGACATTCGCCGCCGCTGCTGAAGACGACCCGCCGGCTGCAGGAGGTGGTTGTACGGATAGAGAGGAGGAGGAAGCAGCAGCTTTGTTGACCGAATCAAGCAACTGAATCTCTTCCACCATTGGCTTCCATACTCTCACTCTCGCATTAATGAACCAGTTGGAAACCTGAGGTGAAAAGAACAAATCCTTGAATTTTTCTCAAGTTTCTGTTTGATAAATTTTGGCTATTCGATTTCCAGCTTTTACTAGAGAATCTACCGATTAGGGTTAGTAATCTAACCTGGGTCCTGGATAGACCAGTCTGTTGAGCCAAGATCTGCTTCTCTGAATCGGTAGGATACCTATACACTCCCAAAAAAGAAAACCATGGTTAATCCAAATTCAGCACGTAAACCATGAAATCGTTTCACGAATTCCAGAATCTTACGGGTGGAGGAAGTGTTCAAAGAGCCAAGACTTGAGCAGAGCAACAGCATGATCAGGGAGACCTCTCTGAGATCGCCAGACCGGCGGCGGAGGAGGCGGAGATGGTAATGGAGGATGAGGAGGAGATTGAAGGAAGACATTGAGGTTGAATGTTGTGGAAGGTTTATTATTATGATTCTGGTATTGGAGGGCTTCTTGGTGCTGATGTTCATGTTGCTCAGAGGAGTAACTTCTGCAGCCTGATGATGATGATCTAGAAAGGAAGCGCATTTGGTGGAGAAGTGCATTTTTAAGGGAAGTGAAATGACTGGAAACTAATCTGATGGCATAGTAGATGAAAGGTGCTGCATTGCCAAGCCCTGGAACTGCTTCAAATGAGGCCACAGCTGTTTGCATTTGCTGGCAGTACAGCTTGTATCTTCTGTAAACCTGGATGTGAATCAAAACATGAATCGATCAAGGATTCAATATGTTTGTGATCCAAATTGTAATGCAAGAAATATATCAAATGAGTTTTAAGTTGGATTAATCATGTGCTTTGTTATCCTAACTAAGCAGGTGCTGTGATTATGGGAATGGTGGGTTGGAGTGGGTCTCAGTCCAACTGACCCAAAAAAATCAGGCCAGGACTGCAGAGGAACAGTGACTTTGATATGAACAGGTGAAAAGACCATACATCTTTTTTTCCTCCCCTTGCTGTTTTGTGGTCATTGTCTGAGGGTTATTTAATAATCTGAACCCCAGGGAAAGGAAAGAAGATACATCTTTTCCCGAGAGAGGGACTGTGGGGTTCCATGGCAGAGACGGTCAAATCAGCAGTTCCATTTTTGGTTTCGAAATTGGTGGGTTCTCTGTACTGAACGTGGGCTCTTCTTCATCTTCTTCTTCTCAGATTCCAGATTATCAATCACCAATCTAAAGAGAAAGGTTCAGTCAACTTTTCCTATCACCAACAGGTCAAAAAACTTTTTTCCTACATCACTACAGATTCAAAGGAAAAGAGCAAATGTAAAGAAAAAGGCTCATGCTAACCTGTGTTACTGTTATTTACCTATGCATTCTAAGATAACAAGCAAAGCTAGCTAGCTAGCTCGTTCCTTTTTTAGGCACTGTTGCGAGTACCAATCAGTCCTTAGAACTTGTTTCGCTCTTTGCTTACATCACCCCGAAACTTTCTTAATTTTCTCAGCAACCAAACCAGGAACCACCAGTTTTATTAGACTCTGTTTTTTAGACAGCGAACACGTTAATGCTAGAAGGATTAAGACATTATCTAACACACACATTTTTGGAAAGCCATTTTACCTCATCGAGCATACGCATGAGTCTTGAATCCTTCCAGCGAAACTCCATCATCATTCGATCTCCTAAACCAGCAAACTCGGCAGGTGTCAGGATGGCCTCGTCGGCAGGGCCACTCTGGCTTGCATGGCCATGGAAGTGGGCAGTTGGAAGGTCGAAATTAACACCGAACAGCTCGTCGAGGAGAAGCTGGGCGGGCCGGAGAAACCTGGAGCTGTTGAGGACTGAGGCGTAGCCAGTGAAGGGACCAAGAGGGACTGGCTGCTGATGTTGCTGCTGGGCGAAGGAAAGAGAGAGTGACAAGCCATTCTCATGTTGCTGCTGCTGATGATGATGATGATGCGAATTATAAGCTCCGGAGTTGTGGATCAGAGAAGGGCTGGTTATGGGGAATCTGTTGTGATGGGTGAACGGTGGTGGGTTGGTTTTGGGTCTGGTCTGATGTGGGGGAGCGAAGAAGAAGGGATTTTCTGATTGGTTCTCTGCCATGGGAGGTAAAATGATGAATAGAAGGTGGAAGAGAAGTTGTGGGAACGAGTTTGGGACTATATATATGGAAATTCCTATGGTACTATCATTCTATTTCGCGATTGTGGTGGTGGTGGGTTTTGATAAAAGAAGTAATTTGACTTAATTAGCTCGGATGAAAAATGCATCATTTCACAATATTTGTTCTCTTGTCGGTTTAATAAAAATCAGGGTTTAAAAGGTGTAAGGTTGATATTCGGTTATGGCTAGATGTTCTTTAGTTCAAGTTGTTAATAACTTATTTAATACTCAACAATAAATAAAAAAACTTACAAGTTAAAACAATGGTTATAGTTATAATATGCCCCTCTACTATGACGTTTTATCAAACATGCCCCTCTACTATTTTTTACAACAAATATGCCCTTGTACTTTGAAAAAATTATCAAACATGCCCTTCTGTTAAAATTTTCATTGAAAAAATCATCAATCGTGGTTGAATCGAGATTTAGATGACCCGACATCGGCAAATGGGAGGGAAAATGTCAGTTTTGTCCATTGTTTTCTTTCCCTGTGTCTTTTCAAAGTGAAATTATTTGAATGATTTGATTATACAGAAGGAAAGAAAAAAAATTATAAAAGTGAATTTATTATGGATATTTCAGTCATTTGTGTCGCCCAAACTAAAGTTCGGCATTGATTAACGGTTTTTGGATGAAAATTTTAACAAAAGGGCATGTTTGATCATTTTTACAAAGTACAGAGGCATGTTTGATAAAGCGTCATAGTAGAGGGGCATATTATACCTATAACCCTTAAAACAATCATAACTTAATAACTCATAAAGTTCTTAACTTGTTAAAAATAGAGAATAAATTGTCAATGTTGATGATGTTAATTTCCGATTTTGATATTGGTTGCTTATTTCGGCCTAATTACAGGTAGGCAACACCTAGGTGTTGTTGTACTCCATCAACGTGTTTTGGATTCCTAACCGAGAGCGGGGCCCCATGGACTAGACATTTTGGCATTGAATAGCACTTAGCGAGAACTAAAGCGTAAGTTTAAGCGTACCTTTTTAACTAGAATTAAAATACTTTTTGAGTCGGTAAAATATCATTTGTTCATCGATAACACGTAACGGGTAAAGTTGAGGCTTTTCTATATTGACAAACCCTTAGGGATCATAACATAGTTATCCACATTTATCGTACAAGGAATGATCGGTTAAGTCTTGTTTGCTTGAAGGGTTTTAACCTTTTTATCATGGATTTGGTACATAAAACTCAAATCTTTATATAAGTTGGACAAAGTCCATTGTTTGTTTAGTACAATTAGGAGGAATAAATATGTGCGGCCCATGGTTTTTGAGGGTCTAAATTCGTGGATCACATGACTTGGAAATTTCAGTCCAAAGAGTAGAATTTGTATTAGGGTCTCAAGTACATGATGTATGTTTACTCTTTTATCCCCACTTATGGGATGTAAGGTGTATAACAAAAATTCCAATATAAAAATACATAATGATTAATCAGAACAATAAGGTAAATTAATTATCTAACTAAGTAAAATCCATCGTGAAATCTAACAAGCATATATGGTTTTTTTCCAAAAATCAAACTGACTTATTCCATCGTAGACTCATGATTTACAAATTTTAACCAAGACCTTCATTTTTCTAATGTACGAACAAAACCACCCTTACTTTTATTTTGCACCGATAATTCTAACTATTACAACGATCAACATTCCAAGAAACATGAATCACTCTTGTGCATGCGTCGATTTCTTTCCAGTTTGTCATTAACGCCACTTAGTGAGCGAGACAGTCAAACTCACGAGAACAGCTCTCTCCTTAGCCATCCACTCGGAGAGAAGGAGACCATACCTCCTGAAAATCTCGTCAATGATTTCCCTCGAAAGATTAAACTGATGGGCAATTATCGGCTCAAACAGCGCCTTCATGCACCTGGAAACGTTGTAGCCACCATCTTGAAGGGCTTCAGGTAAGTCCACTTCCCCCTCGTAGGCATTCCAACTCATATCCCACAATTCCAGGTGTTCGATGGCAAAGGATCCCTGTTTTTGGACTTCGACTTCCACTTCCATGGCGGATGGAGTGAACAGTGGGAGATTGAAGGAATCCAATTTCTCCTGATCTATCAACCCCTGCAAGAGAGAGCATGACACCAAATTACCCAAATGTACCTAAGAAACAAGTTTGATTTTAAAATGAAAACACTGATTTCTTCTTCTCTCTTTTATGCACGTGTCAAGAACCAGTTGATCCCAATAACTTAAATTATTGAAGAAAATTTGATAATAGATCTTATACCACGTACTAACATATAATAATAAATACCTCAGATGCCATTTGGTTGAGAGCCATGGACATAAGTTCCCAAATGTAGCAGCACTCTTTGGCAAAAGGTTCTGCACTTCTCCTTCCCAGGAAGGTCAGAACCATTCGTCCTCCTGTCACCAATTCTTGAGCCCTATGCTCTAAGAAAGATGAAAAGTCTGTCTGAAATTGTTTGTGATAGGCTTCTAAGACACATTGAGGGCTGCTTTTGGCCATGTAAATATTTCCCTTGTTCTCCTCCAGACCTCGAGGAACCTCAGAGCGCCAGTGAACACTATAGGAAGAGTGAATGAAATGGAGGCTATCAGTTTGGAAAAGCCTTTCGTAAAAAGAACCAGGGACTCCAGTGATGAAGATCAATGGTTCAGAATCTGGACAAGACCCCATTTCTTTCCTCGTTTTTTCCTTGAAGCCTTGTATGGAGCTGAAGATGTTATTGAAGTCGTTTCCAGGGAGGTCGTTCAGAAAGATCTGAAACTGGTCGGTGGATTCGTGGCCCATCTCGCTGGAAAGCTTGTGGGCGGCCTTGATTACCTCAGACACGAGGAAGAGAGAGTTGGGCCCTGAAGCGCAGCCCAAATCTGCAATTGCTAGCCTGCCTAAGGCGACGCTCGAGTTGCACATAAGTTTTGCTATGGCTTCCTTTGTTATCGGCAAAGTGGTTGATATCCCCTTCCGCTGCAATTGTCGAGACAAAAATTTAAAATGATCAGTCTCTCGTCATGTGAATAACGACTTAATTTAGTGGTAATACTGTTAATTTTGAACCTAAAAATTAATCTAACTATAAAAATCAACTTATATGACTATTATAAAAAAAAAGTTTTGGTCATATTCAAACTCGTCACTCTTCTTTGAAATTTCTTATGAGGTTTGTTACAAGAGCACGAGTAGTATGGTACCATGTGAATACATCAGAATTCTATTTGAAAATTATTGTGCACCAATTACTATTATCATAAAGGGCTACAATAGACTGAAAAGTGAATTTCGTACTAACTCAAGAGAAAATGCTATTACAATTTTACTATAAAGAATAGTAATACTCAAACTAATATGCAACTAATGGCATCGTATGATAAATAACATAATACCAAGAATTGTAAAGTTATGTCGAAGGTTGTATTAAAAATTTAGTAGTATGATGTTTTATGTTTAAACTATGATTTAGTCCCGATTCAATTTTTTCATACATGTAAAACCGCCTAACAACCTGGGCTACATTATACCGTTTTTCTATAAGTACGAATTTGCAAACACCAAAAAACACTACTCATCACTATCATCATGTGTCTCTCTCATTTAATTTACCTGAAGCAGGGAGTTCATAGCGTAGCTGGCCTCTTCCATTCCCCCATTCATATGCAGCACGTTAGCCATTGCCATCTCTTGCTTTCTCTCTAGACCGATCTGCTCCAGCTTTCTCCTTCTTTCTATATATCTCTCTTGCTTGGAGTTCTTGGGTTTGGGTTTCACGGGGTGACTTGGGAATCAAATTTATAGGACTTAATCTTACAATGTTGGGCAGCTCTCACAGAGAAGACAAAGAGCAGTTCGCGTTTTGAATGGATAAAGGCCCAGGTCTTTCGTCTTATTTGCTTGATCTAATCGGCAATTCACCTTCAGCTAATAGATTCATTTGCATCTCAATTCTCATTAGTTGATTAATGTTTTGCATTTTCAAGTAGCAGTATTTTGCCCACATCAGATAACTATTGAAGTGGCATGTGCATTTTGTTCATTTTTTTAGGATTGTTGGATGGTCTTATCCTCTATCCTCTAATAAGTAATAAAAATAGTACTTTTCTGTACTCTTCTCCATTGCAAATTTATTAATCTCTTCTTAATCTTAGACAATGTTATAGTGGCAATTAACTACCCTAAAATAAATCTCTCTTCCTCCTCAATTGTTTCTCCTAGTGCCGATAATGGGTTCAATTATAATCACGGAACAGTTTAATCGATTCTCGGTTAACCGTTAAGCACTTTGTGCTTATTGTTAACCGGACCGTTAAAGTTAGTCGGTTAACCGTTATCGTATGGTCGATTCTCGATTATTTTATCGGTTAACCGGATACCCGTTACCAAGTGATTCGACATGATTATACCAAAATAACGGTTCAATAACCTAACCATCAAAATACCTATTTTTTCAATTGTGAAATTTTCTATAATTTTTCATACATACGCTTGTGTTCTTTTCTTAAGTTGTTATCATAAATAAAAAAAATAATTTATCATAGATACATATCAGTACTTAATCAACTCAATCCAACACAAGTACACAATAATACTTTATACCATCAAACTTTATTACAGAATTATACCACGATAAGAGACCCAACAATAATTACTCAACTCGTAAACTCCACCAAATTACATGGACGCTTAATGTTATTGATTGTTGTCGAGCAATTGTGTGCAAGTCCGACTTTGTATTGTGTTCCTTCTAAAACTTTTCATTAAAATTATTCTCATTTGAGTCTAAATCATTTTTACAACTAGGATAGGCAAGAGGTCTTGTAAGCCTTCAAACACCTCATTATTTTTGGCCTATGTTTGCAGCTCATGGATGTCTATTATTTTTTGCTCTAACTATGAGGAATGTCGTAATCGGTTAGTTGGTTAACCGTTTTACCGTCGCTTATTAACCATCTAACCATCGGTTATTTATTAGCTAAATTTGACTACCAAGAACCGATCGTTTACTATTAATCGGTTATCGGTGTAACCGTTAAGCACCGATTCCTGTTTGATTATCGGTTATACCGTTAACGGGTTAACCGTTTATCAACACTAGTTTCTCCATTGAATCGTCCTCTACTACTGTTGTACTCCATCAACGTGTTTTGGGCTCCTAATTGAGAGTGGGACCCATGGACTAGACATTTTGGCAATGAATAACACTTAGCGAGAGCTGAGCGTAAAACTTACCTTTTTTAACTATAATTAAAACACTTCTTGAGTCAGTAAAAAAATTATCATTTGTTCATCGGTAACACGAATATCTATAGTGACAAAACTTTAGGGTTCATAACATAGTCAATCGACATTTATCGTACATGGAATTATATGTTCGGTCTTGTTTGCTTGAAGGTTTTTATCATGGATTTGGAGAAAAATATATTATGGGATAACCGAACACGGGTGGTTGATGTATGTTGTTGCATGGGACTTTGATAAGGAAAAGGACAACATGTCAACAGAGCTAGTGATCAGATTTGTTGAAAATGATGTCGGTTTGAAGTGACTCAGTGCTTAGATTAGTTAGTTGAATCAACTCGATTAGTTAGTTTGACCAAGTTTGGGTTGATAACCAACTGGGCCTCCAACCTACTAACAAAATACTCGGGTTTGGGCAAAACTGATTTGCCCAACCATGTCAAACTTGGGTTGACAATCATGTTTATGATTCTTGTCTTTTTTGGAAGATACATTTGTTCAAATTCCAATACTTGTTTATTTTCTACAAATAAATAAGTTTAATAATTGTGAAGGCAAATATACCATTCATACTTTTGCTCTCGTTGTCTAAATTTGAAACGGAAAAATACTTTTCTCATTCCAGTCTTATATATTGTATTGTGTTTAGACGTAGACATATGTCATTGCCCTAGAAATTCATTAACATGTCAAAAAATAGTGAAATGAACCAATAATTAAGCTCAATCTCGTATAATGATCATTGGATCTAATCATGCCAGATTAGGAACATGTTGAAAGCTTAGCAGTTAACCCGGGTAAAATGTTAAAAAACCCAGTCCCATATAGTCTGCATAAGGATATGATTTCTTCATAGTTAATTCTAAAAATTAATACTAATTTAAATTTTGACATTGCTTCGACCTATTTAATACTCTAATTTTATATGCAATATTCATACAAGTGATATATAGGTTGCAATTTTAAAGTTATCCTCTGTTTATAATATACATTGACATATAAATTAAGTATTAAAATATAATTAAAATAATAAAAAATATAAAAGTCGAATTATCAAATCATTAAATAAGTACTTGAGAGATTTAGTTGCTAGCTAACCGCTGAAAAGGTCTTCTGATTTTTTAGATTTTAGGTTTGTGTATCTTCTTCTTTTAAAATATACAACAAATATATGTAGCGTGATTAATTGTAGCCCTTCCCTCTCATAAAACTGGTCATGGTTCAAATCCCCATATGTAACTATTTTTTATGAATAAATAAGAAAAAAATAAGTAGTTGTGAAGATAAAAATGCCATTCCTACTTTCACCCTCGATGCAGGAAATTTGAAATTGAGCAATGAGTTTTGGCTTTCATATTTAATAATTTGTGTTGATAAGTGATAAAAATAGTACACTTTTGTGTACTCTTCTACATTGCAAATTTATTAATCTCTTCTTAATCTTAGACAATGTTATAGTGGCAATTAACAACCCTAAAATAAATCTCTCTTCCTCCCCAATTGTTTCTCCTAGTGCTGATAATCGGTTTGGTTATAACCGCAGAACCGTTTAATCGGTTCCCGGTTAACCGTTAAGCACTTTGTGGTTACCGTTAACCGGACCGTTAAAATTAGTCGGTTAAACGTAACCGTATGGTCGGTTCTCACTTATTTTGTCGGTTAATCGGATACCCGTTAACCAAGTGATTAGGCATGATTATACCAAAATAATTGTTCAATAACCTAACCATCAAAAGACCTATTTTTTCAATTGTAAAATTTTCTATAATTTTTCACATATGCATGTGTTCTTTTCTTAAGTTGTTATCATAAATAAAAAATAATTTATCATAGATACATATCAATACTTAATCAACTCAATCCAACACAAGTACACAATAATACTTTATACCATCAAACTTTATTAAAGAAGCATACCATGATAAGAAACCCAACAACAATTACTCAACTCGTAAACCCCACCAAATTATATGGAAGCTTAATGTTACTGATTGTTGTCGAGCAACTGTGTGCAAGTTTGACTTTATATTGTGTTCCTTCTAAAACTAATCATTTAAATTATTATCATTTGAGTCTAAATCACTTTTACAACTAGGATAGGCAAGGGGTCTTGTAAGCCTTCAAACACCCCATTATTTTCTGCATATGTTTGCAGCTCATGGATGTCTATTATTTTTTGCTCTAACTATGAGGAATGTCATAATCGGTTAGTCGGTTAACCATTTAACAGTCAGTTATTAAGCGTTTAACCATTGGTTATTTATTAGCTACATTTGGCTACCAAGAACCGACCATTTACTATTTAACCGGTTTGGTATGTATCTATTGAATCGTCAACACTAGTTTCTCCATTGAATCGTCCTCTACTACCGTTGTACTCCATCAACGTGTTTGGATTCCTAATTGAGAGCGGGACCCATGGACTAGAGATTTAGGCATTGAATAACACTTAGCGAGAGCTGAGCGTAAGTTTAAGCGTACCTTTTTTTTAACTATAATTAAAATGCTTCTTGAGTCATTAAAAAATTTATCATTTGTTCATCAATAACATGAAAAGCTATAGTGACAAAACTTTAGGGTTCATAACATAGTCAATCCACATTTATCATACATGGAATTATATGTTAGGTCTTGTTTGCTTGAAGGTTATTATCATGAATTTGATACATCAAACTTAAATCTTCATATAATTTGGACAAAGTCCATTGTTTGTTTAATACAATTAGGAGGAATAAACATGTGCAAGCCATGATTTTTGTGGGTCTAAATCCGTAGATTCCACATGACTTGAAAATTCTTGTCCAAAGAGTGGAATTTGTGTTAGAGTCTCAAGTACATGATGTCTCTTTACTCTTTTATCCCAACTTATGGGATGTAAGGTGTATAACAAAAATTATAATATAAAAATTCAAAATGATTAATAAGGGCAATAAGGTAAATTAATTATATAACTAAGTAAAAACCATCATGAAATTAATTAACAAGCAAATGATGGTTTTCCAAAATCAAATGGACAAATCCATCAGAGATTCATGATTTTATTAAACCCAAAATTTAACCAAGACCTTCATTTTTCAAACCTACAAAGAAAACCACCCTTACTTTTTTTTTCCACTGATAATTTTAACTATTACAACGATCAACATTCCAAGAAACATGAATCACTCTTGTGCATGTTTCGATTCCTTCCAATTTTGCCATCAACCTCGCTTAGTGAGCGAGACAGTCAAACTCACGAGAATAGCTCTCTCGTTGGCCATCCAATCTGAGAGAAGAAGACCATACCTCTTGAAAACCTCGTTCATGACTTCCCTCGGCAAGTTAAACTTATGGGTGATTATCGGCTCAAACAATGCCTTCATGCACCTGGAAACGTTGTAGCCACCATCTCGAAGGGCTTCAGGCAAGTCCACTTCCCCCTCGTAGGCATTCCAGCTCATATCCCACAACTCCAGGTGTTTGATGGCAAAGGAGCCCTGTTTTTGGATCTCGGCTTCCACTTCCATGGCGGATGGAGTGAACAATGGGAGATTGAAGGAATCCAATTTATCCTGATCTATCAACCCCTGCAAGAGAGAGCATGACGAATAATTTTCCAAATGTACCTAAAAACAAGTTTGATTTTAAAATGAAAACACTGATATCTTCTTCTCTTTTATTCATGTGTCAAGAATCAGTTGATTCTAATAACTCAAATGATTGGAAAATATATGATAATGAATCTTATATCACGTACTAACATATAACAGTAAGTACCTCCAATGCCATTTGGTTGAGAGCCATGGACATAAGTTCCCAAATGTAGCAACACTCTTTGGCACAAGGTTCTGCACTTCTCCTTCCAAAGAAGGTCAGAACCATCCGTCCTCCTGTCACCAATTCTTGAGCCCTATGATTTAAGAAAGATGAAAAGTCTGTCCGAAATTGTTTGTAATAGGCTTCCAAGACACATTGAGGGCTGGTTTTGGCCATGTAAATATTTCCCTTGTTCTCCTCCAAACCTCGAGGAACTTGAGAGCTCCAGTGAACACTATATGAAGAGTGAATGAAATGGAGGCTATCAGTTTGGAAAAGCCTATCATAGAAGGAACCTGGGACTCCAGTGATGAACATCAATATTGGTTCAGAATCCGTGCAGGACCCCATTTCTTCCATAATTTTCTCCTTGAATCCTTGTATAGAACTGAAGATGTTGTTGAAGTCATTTCCAGGGAGGTCATTCAGAAAGATCTGAAACTGGTCGGTGGATTTGTGGCCCAACTCCCTGGAAAGCTTGTGGGCGGCCTTGATTACCTCAGACACGAGGAAGAGGGAGTTGGGCCCTGAAGCACAGCCCAGATTTGCGATTGCTAGCCTGCCTATGGGGAAGCTCGAGTTGCACATCAGTTCTGCTATGGCTTCCTTTGTTATCGGCAGAGTGGTTGCTATCCCTTTCCACTGCAAGACAAAATTTTCAATTGGTCAAACAACAATTTAGTCTAGCGTCAAAGTCAAATTTGTTACTCTTTGTTGGACTCCCTTCTGTGTTTTTATTACAAAGAGTATGAGTAGTCTAGTACCATGTTAATACATCAGAATTTGATTTGAAATTATTGTGTATTAATTGCTATGATCATGAAGGGCTAATATTGGCGTATTACCACTTGTTTTGAATCTTGAGGTCACAAATCTTTTAAGTAGTTAGCTTCTTTACTTTCCCTTTAACAAACAAACACCACTTAGAATAAGCAAAGAAAAAAAAAACATTATCCAAGAGAGAAAGAATCCATCATCGTCATTCTAGAGCTGGAATCGTCGATCGGACGTCTGAATCATGAGTAACGTTTCCAACGAGGTAAAGTTCAGTCTAAAAGCAAAAACAAAAAAAAAAAAACGGGAACCACAACTCACTTGCGGTTGCACCATGGACCAACATCAACTTGCCTTAGGTTGAGTGTTTTTTTGAAAATTTTGGTAGGGAACGGGCAACGACGACGACGAGAAACTAGAAAGGTGCCGACGGACTGGTCGTCGGCGAACTAGTGTGCCGGGAGGGATTCATGAATAAGGCAGACGAGGGGTTGAGTTCGAGGAGTTAGGGATTGTTTGGTTTGTTTAAATTTTGAAATTTTATTGGGGGCATATAGGTAATTTATAATTGGAGTTAGGGCGACCGTTAGCATTTTTAAGGGCGACATTTAGCTATTCAGTAAAAATAAACATATATTGTCCTTATAAAGAATTCTCTAATACTGCAAAATAAACATATATTTTGTAATTAGTAAATACCAATAGTTTTACTACAAAATAAAAGTAGAACTCAAACTAATATGCAATACCACAGTATGATAAATTACAAAATAAAGTCAAGGATTGTAAAGTCTTATCGAAAATTTAAGTAATAAGGTATTTTGTACTTCAACATTAGTTTAATCGTGATTCAACTTTTCATTCCGATAAAATCATTTACCGACGTGGATTTTGTAGGCAATTTTTTGATCAATCTATATATATATGTACAATACGGTTTTGCAAACACGTAAAAATGCTACTCAACTATATCTCTACCATTTAATTTACCTGAAGCAAGGAGTTCTTAGCGTAGCTAGTCTCTCCCATGCCCCCATTCATATGCAACACATTATCCATTTCTCTCTCTCGTACGTGCTTGGAGTTTATGGGTTTGGGTTTCAAGAGTGTCCTGGGAATCAATTTATAGAAGGACTTAATCTTACTAAATTGGGCAACTCTCGCGGTGAAAGACAAAGGAGCTGTTCTGTTTTGAATGGATCGGATAAAGAGTAAAGACTAATGGCCAGTCCTTTCGTCATGTTTGCTTGATCTTATCGGCGATTCAACTTCAGCTAATGGATTCATTTGCATCTCGATTCTCACTAGTCGATTAATGTTTTGCATTTTCCAGTTGTAGTATTTTCCCCGCTTGAGATAACTATTGAAGATTTGAAGTGACATGTGCATTTTTAGTATTGTTGGAAGGTCTTATCATCAATCCTCTAATAATTAATATAGTACACTTCTGTATTCTTTTTTCCATTTCAAATTTGTTAATCTTTTCTTATTGTCAGGCAAGGTTATAGTGGCAATCAACAAAGCTAAAATAAATCTCTCTTCCTCTCCCAATTGTTTTTCTATTGAATCGTTCTCTACTATCATTTTCTTTTTTCGTTTAATAACCTTCACAATTCCAATAACTGAAGATTTTATTTGTAGTTTAACGATTTTTCGAATAATTAGACTTTTATTACGCTAATTATTCACCTCTCCCTTAAGGGAGAGAAAAAGAAGACAATCAAAAATTATTTAATTTATCAGCTTTAGTTCTCGAGTCAAATTATTCACTTTTTTCTTCTCTGTTTTCAATTTCACTATCATTTTTAGTTAGTCCATATATCTTTTATTTCAATTCCAAATTCAAATATTTTTACACGGAAAATTGATATTTAAGTAATTTAGAAAATCATACCCATTTTAAATGTAAGCAAAATACAAGTTTATTTTAATGAACATGTCTACAGCCATGTGTCGCGTTATTGTAAGCCAATTTTTTTGTGTCACATTACTATGGCATTCGGTACCACCATTGTTCATGAATGTTTCATGTGATTGAAGAACTTGTTCATGGAGTGAAATTTTTTTTTTCCAAGTATACTTAGTTTATTCAATCTTGTAAACCCAAATGAATCATAGTTTTTGGGCATCATGGAAGATGAAATTGATCAATTAGACTGAGATTTATAGCAACAAAATTTTGAATATAAATTTGGAGACTTTTTTTTTATTTGGCCAAAAATGTTAGGCTTATTAGATATTCCTCTTTTCCCTCATGTTGTTAACAAGATTGACAATACACCGGTGCAACTTAGTTGTTAGGTTTAAGTATATAGTATCATATCCCAAATCTAGTTAGTCTAGATAGTGTTTTTTACTAAAGATATGAAGTGTCCTAGATTCACCCAAAGTACAACAGAAGCCACTTTTTATATATACATATTTGAGTTATTAGCCTAAACCAATTCGATCATCAATCCTTAAATCACTTTCTCAACCGGACTAATTGTTAAAACCATGTTGACAACCTTAACATAAGCTCAATGTTTATCTATTGCTGAACTAATCCCAGTGTTCTAAATATTTCTCTTTAGCTGCACTTTACATAGAGAACAATCATTTTGCTTGCAATAGTAGAGCACATAATCCCCAACCAACAATATGTGTACAAGGCAATAACTTGAGAAAAAAATTCATTACTATCACAATTAACATTAAACAATTAGTGAATGTGACAGAAATTAGCATATGATTAGTGATTACAAGCACAAACAGTAATGATCATACAAAATCCTTACAAATACATAACCCCCACCTATACTAACCATCGACAGCCAAAAACACACAAAACACAAAAACAAAAGGAACAAAAGGAAAAATCCGGAAACTCAGATCAATTGGAGCAGCAGGTTTTATTGTTAGCGTTACCTGAGCAAATCATGGATTTGGTATATCAAACTTAAAATCTTCATATAATTTGGACAAAGTCCATTGTTTGTTGAATACAATTAGGAGGAATAAACATGTGCTACCCATGATTTTTTGTGGGTCTAAATCTGTGGATTTCACATGACTTGAAAATTCCAGTCCAAAGAGTGAAATTTGTGTTAGGGTCTCTAATACATGATGTCTCTTTACTCTTTTATCCCCACCTGTGAGATGTAAGGTGTATAACAAAAATTACAATATAAAAATACATAATGATTTATATAGGCAATAAGGTATATTAATTATATAACTAAGTAAAATCCATCATGAAATTAATTAACAAGCAGATGATGGTTTTTTTCCAAAATCAAATGGACAAATTTCATCATAGATTCATGATTTTATTAAACCCAAAATTTAACCAAGACTTCATTTTTCAAATTTACAAAGAAAACCACCCTTAGTTTTATTTTCCACCGATAATTTTAACTATTACAACGATCAACATTCCAAGAAACATGAATCACTCTTGTGCATGTTTCGATTCCTTCCAATTTTGCCATCAACCTCGCTTAGTGAGCGAGACAGTCAAACTCACGAGAACAGCTCTCTCGTTGGCCATCCAATCTGAGAGAAGGAGACCACACCTCTTGAAAACCTCGTTGATGACTTCCCTCGGCGGGTTCAACCGATGGGAAATTATTGGCTCAAACAGCGCCTTCATGCACCTGGAAACGTTGTAGCCACCATCTCGAAGGGCTTCAGGCAAATCCACTTCCCCCTCGTAGGCATTCCAACTCATATCCCACAACTCTAGGTGTTCAACGGCAAAGGACCCCTGTTTTTGGATCTCGGTTTCCACTTCCATGGCGGATGGAGTGAACAATGGGAGATTGAAGGAATCCAATTTGTCCTGATCTATCAACCCCTGCAAGAGAGAGCATGACGAATAATTTTCCAAATGTACCTAAAAACAAGTTTGATTTTAAAATGAAAACACTTATATCTTCTTCTCTTTTATTCATGTGTCAAGAACCAGTTGATTCTAATAACTCAAATTATTATAAAAGATTTGATCATGAATTTTATATCACGTACTAACATATAACAGTAAGTACCTCTGATGCCATTTGGTTGAGAGCCATGGACATAAGTTCCCAAATGTAGCAACACTCTTTGGCACAAGGTTCTGCACTTCTCCTTCCAAAGAAGGTCAGGACCATTCGTCCTCCTGTCACCAATTCTTGAGCCCTATGCTTTAAGAAAGATGAAAAGTCTGTCTGAAACTATTTGTAATAGGCTTCCATGACACATTGAGGGCTGGTTTTCGCCATGTAAATATTTCCCTTGTTCTCCTCCAAACCTCGAGGAACTTGAGAGCTCCAGTGAACACCATAGGAAGAGTGAATGAAATGGAGGCTGTCAGTTTGGAAAAGCCTATCATAGAAGGAACCTGGGACTCCAGTGATGAACATCAATATTGGTTCAGAATCAGTGCAGGACCCCATTTCTTCCATAATTTTCTCTTTGAATCCTTGTATAGAACGGAAGATGTTGTTGAAGTCATTTCCAGGGAGGTCATTCAGAAAGATCTGAAATTGGTCGGTGGATTCGTGGCCCAACTCCCTGGAAAGTTTGTGGGCAGCCTTGATTACCTCGGAGACGAGGAAGAAGGAGTTGGGCCCTGAAGCGCAGCCCAGATCTGCGATTGCTAGCCTCCCTATGGGGAAGCTCGAGTTGCACATCAGTTCTGCTATGGCTTTCTTTATTATCGGCAGAGTGGTTGCTATCCCTTTCCACTGCAAGACAAAATTTTCAATTGGTCAAATAACAATTTAGTCTAGCGTCAAAGTCAAATTCGTTACTCTTGATTGGACTCGCTTCCGTGTTTTGTTACAAAGAGTATGAGTAGTCTAGTACCATGATAATACATATTTGAAATTATTGTGTATCAATTGATATGATCGTGAAGGGCTAATCTAGACGTATTACCACTTGTTTTGAATCTTGAGGTCACATATCTTTTAACTTTTAAGTAGTTAGCTTCTTTACTTTCCCTTTAGGAAACAAACACCACTTAGAATAAACAAAGAAAAAAAAATTATCCAAGAGAGAAAGAATCCATCATTGTCATTCTGGAGCTGGAATTGTCGATAGGACGTCTGAATCATGAGTAACTTTTCCGACGAGGTAAAGTTCACTCCAAAAACAAAAAAAAGGGACCGCAACTCACTTGCGGTTGCACCATGGACCAACAACAACTTGTCTTAGGTTGAGTGTTTTTTTGGAAATTTTGGTAGGGAACGAGCGACGATGACAACGATGACGAGAAAGGTGTCGACGGACTGGTCGTCGGCGAACTAGTGCGTCGGGAGGGATTCGGGAAGAAGGCAGACGAAGGGTTGGGTTTGAGGAGTTAGGGATTGTTTGGTTTGTTTAAATTTTGAAATTTCATTGGTGGTATATAGATAATTTATTATTAGAGTTAGGGCAACCGTTAGCATTTTTAAGGGCGACATTTAGCGATTTAGTAAAAATAAACATATATTGTCCTTATAAAGAAGTCTCTAATACTCGTTTAATTAGTAAATACCAATAGTTTTACTACAAAATAAAAGTAGAACTCAAACTAATATGCAATACCACAGTATGATATATTAAAAAATAAAGCCAAGGATTGTAAAGTCTTATCGAAAATTTCAGTAATAAGGTATTTTGTACTTAAACATTAGTTTAATCATGATTCAATTTTTTCATTCCGATAAAATTATTTACCGACGTGGATTTTAATAGGCAATTTTTCGATCGGTCTCTCTCTATATATATAATACGGTTTTGCAAACACGTAAAAGTGCTACTCAACTCCTTTTAAAAAAAATGCTACTCAACTGTATCTCTATCATTTAATTTACCTGAAGCAAGGAGTTCTTAGCGTAGCTCGTCTCTCCCATGCCCCCGTTCATATGCAGCACATTATCCATTTCCATCTCCTGCTTTCTCCTTCTTTCTCTCTCTCTCTCGTACGTGCTTGGAGTTTATGAGTTTGGGTTTCAAAAGTCCTGGGAATCAATTTATAGAATGACATAATCTTACTAAATTGGGCAACTCTCGCAGTGAAAGACAAGGGAGTTGTTCTGTTTTGAATGGATCGGATAAAGAGTAAAGACTAAGGCCAGTCCTTTCGTCATGTTTTGAATGAATCGGATAAAGAGTAAAGACAAGGGAGCTGTTCTATTTTGAATGGATCGGATAAAGAGTAAAGACTAAGGCCAGTCCCTTCGTCATGTTTGCTTGATATGATCGGCGATTCAACTTCAACTAATGGATTCATTTGCATCTCGATTCTCTTTAGTCGATTAATGTTTTGCATTTTCCAGTTGCAGTATTTCCCCGCATGAGATAACTATTGAAGATTTGAAATGACGTGTGCATTTTTTAGTATTGTTGGAAGGTCTTATCTCTAATCCTCTAATAATTAATACAGACTGTACACTTCTATATACTTTTTTTCATTTCAAATTTTTTAATCTCTTATCATTCTCTGGCAAGGTTATAGTGACAAAATTAACAAAGCTAAAATAAATTTATCTTTCTCTCCCAATTGTTTCTCTATTGGATCGTACTCTACTATCATTTCCTTTTTTCGTTTAATGACCTTCACAATTCCAATAACTGAAGATTTTATTTGTAGTTCAAAAGATTTCTCGAATAATTAGACTTTTATTAAGCTAATTATTCACCTCTCTCTTAAGGGCGAGAAAGAGAAGACAATAAAAATTTATCTAAATCTGAAGAATATATTATACACTTTCCAGTAACAGGTCTCTCCATTTCAAATTTACTCTTTCCTTATTCATCCACGTCAGCATCCTGATTCAACCAATCACAATTGATTCTCACTAAAAAAAATCCTACCCATCATAAACAACTCCCGCAAGATCACCGTTTTTTTTATCCCAAAATTGATTTTAGTGTATGAGATTTATAGAATTAAGACCTAGATTTTAATCTTAAGGGTTTGGGAATAGCATCATATGCCAAACTCCGATAGTCCGATTGATTCAAAGTCTAAATATTATTTTTCGTACTCAAGGTATATCATACATTTAATATTAACCAATGTACAATAGAACCACTCATATGTATATATTAAACTAGGGTGAACCCTAACAAGACACGAAAATCGTTTCTTCCATGACAAGGAAACAAAACATGAGAATTCGAGATAGCGGGACAGGCGTCAGGCAGCTTGGACTCGACGTTGTAAGCCGTATGGAACACGGACACAAACTTCTATCGATAAAAACACAAATTTTATAGATATAAGGGGTCTCATATATATAAAATACTAATTAACTGAAATTTTAATAATTAATTAATTATTAATAACAAAATTTATCCGGCCATTGGCCGAGCACAAAGCTAGTTTAATTTATCAGCTTTAGTTCTCAAGTCAAATTATTCACTTTTTTCTTCTCTGTTTTCAATTTCACTATCATTTTTAGTTAGTCCATATATCTTTTATTTCAATTCCAAATTCAAATATTTTTCACGGAAAATTGAGATTTAAGTAATTTAGACAATCATACCCATTTTATATGTAAGCAAAATACAAGTTTATTTTAATGAACATGTCTACAGCCATGTGTCGCGTTATTGTAAGCCAATTTTTTTGTGTCACATTACTATGGCATTCGGTACCACCATTGTTCATGAATGTTTCATGTGATTGAAGAACTTGTTCATGGAGTGAAATTGTTTTTTTCCAAGTATACTTAGTTTATTCAATCTTGTAAACCCAAATGAATCATAGTTTTTGGGCATCATGGAAGATGAAATTGATCAATTAGACTGAGATTTATAGCAACAAAATTTTGAATATAAATTTGGAGACTTTTTTTTTTATTTGGCCAAAAATGTTAGGCTTATTAGATATTCCTCTTTTCCCTCATGTTGTTAACAAGATTGACAATACACCGCCACACCGGTGCAACTTAGTTGTTAGGTTTAAGTATATAGTATCATATCCCAAATCTAGTTAGTCTAGATAGTGTTTTTTACTAAAGATATGCAGTGTCCTAGATTCACCCAAAGTACAACAGAAGCCACTTTTTATATATACATATTTGAGTTATTAGCCTAAACCAATTCGATCATCAATCCTTAAATCACTTTCTCAACCGGACTAATTGTTAAAACCATGTTGACAACCTTAACATAAGCTCAATGTTTATCTATTGCTGAACTAATCCCAGTGTTCTAAATATTTCTCTTTAGCTGCACTTTACATAGAGAACAATCATTTTGCTTGCAATAGTAGAGCACATAATCCCCAACCAACAATATGTGTACAAGGCAATAACTTGAGAAAAAAAATTCATTACTATCACAATTAACATTAAACAATTAGTGAATGTGACAGAAATTAGCATATGATTAGTGATTACAAGCACAAACAGTAATGATCATACAAAATCCTTACAAATACATAACCCCCACCTATACTAACCATCGACAGCCAAAAACACACAAAACACCAAAACAAAAGGAACAAAAGGAAAAATTCTTGTCTACCCATTTCTCTCTTTGATCATCACAAACTAAAAAGCTCTACCATCATCGAATACATTACGAACCGTAAACAAGCAGAAAGCAGAAACCCAATAGAGATCAAACAAAAATTAACAGGCGAATTCAGGGCAAAAAATGGAAAATGAAAAATCCGGAAACTCAGATCAATTGGAGCAGCAGGTTTTATTGTTAGCGTTACCATTGAGATTGGCGACGTTAATGGACTTCCCCTGCGGCACTCCAGAGGCATTGGCCGCTTCCTGAGCGGCCAACGCCTTCTTGCTGATGATCTGGTAGATGTCAAGCAAGATCGTCTGAAATGCCTTCTCCACATTGAACGCTTCCAGCGCCGACGTCTCGAGGAACGAGAGCCCTTCCTTCTCCGCCAACATCTGGGCGTCCTCCGCCGACACCGCCCTCAGGTGGTTCAAATCGGACTTGTTTCCGGCCATCATGATCACGATGTTGGAGTCCGCGTGGTCGCGCAGCTCGCGGAGCCACCGCAGCACGTTGTCGAACGTCTGCCGCTTCGTTATGTCGTAGACCAGTAGCGCTCCCACGGCTCCCCTGTAGTACGCGCTTGTAATTGCTCTGTACCTCTCTTGCCCTGCCGTGTCCCATATCTGCGCCTTCACCGTTTTCCCTTCCACCTGATTTTTTTTTCAAAAGGTGAAAAATTGACGAATGCCCAGAATTCAGAATCCGATTCCATGGCCAGATCGGAGAGAATGATAAGAAATGGATGCGCATTGGATTGATATGAGATGGGGTATAATATACCTGGAGGGTCCTGGTGGCGAATTCGACGCCGATGGTGGATTTGGATTCGAGGCAGAACTCGTTGCGGGTGAATCTGGAGAGGATGTTGGATTTGCCGACGCCGGAGTCGCCGATCAAGACGATCTTGAAGAGGTAATCGTACTCGTGATCCACTTTGTACGCCATTTTGTTGCTGTTCTGATTCTGGGTTCAGCCTGCCAACCGGAAAACAGAATCAGGGAGGGAAGAAAATCTAAGAACAGGTGGGGAAGAAGTTATCGGCAGGGGGGAAATACCATAAAAATATGGCGGAAAAAAGTTTGACGCTTATTGGTTGTTTTGAGTTTCTTTTGGCTATTGGATTTTGGTTGTTTCCATTTTTTTTCTTTTGTTCTTCCACCTGAGGGAGAGAAAGGTTGGAAGGGAGGAGGAGGCAGGGGAAGAGAGAGAAAGAGAGGGGGGAAAACCCAGAGCCAGAGAAATAAAGGGACGAAAGGGCATGCGAAACGGCTGTTTGTTTGGATTTAGGAGCGAAATTTTGGGGGGTTCGGGTATTCACGGGCCGGGGCCACTGTTATGTTGGCCCAAAGAAATAGTCGGATCATTTTGAGGTAAAATTGACGCTGGACTTAGGCCCAACAATTTGAGCGGGCTTGTTCTCGTGGGTCAGAGGGATACTCTTGAGGCTTGAGCATTGCAAGAAGTAACAAAATTAAGGAATTTAATATCTTTGTGTAAAACATTTTTAGGCCTTAACTATGACAAAAAAATTATCTAAAACATGGTTAACCGCAATAGATTTGGTTCTTTTTTATTTTACAATCCTAAATTAATATAATTTTTATTTTTGAAAATCTTCCAACAACTCAAAAGATCGAGACAACTAATTATTGACGGTTCAAATAAGTAGATTGTATCTTTATGTTTGAATAAAGAAAAAACAAATGCATAATAAGTCAGTTTTTGGTTCTCCACATGATAAAATATCGTCCTCTATCATTTGAAAAAGATACAATGGAGAATAAGTTGGTTTTTGGTTCTCCACATAATATAACATTGAGCATTGACAAAGACATGGAATTAATCAGGGGAGAACTTCTGCAGCCTGGTTCATTGATATCAATTCCTGTCTTTTTCAGTCTCTCTGCAGAAGGCCAATGATCTCTAATTTTGGAATGGTGTTTTATTGTTTTCCCTTCTCCATTACTATCTATAAAACCCTAAGCCCTAAACTGGAAAGAGACATCTTTCCTCCAATCTAAACAAATTCCTATAAGGCAGCCATGGGTATAACAGGGACAAGTAGCAGTCGTCCATCCTCGCGGCTTCTGGCCCTCAAGCTTGCCTACTGTGCCTTGTTCTTGCTCATGATTGCTTGCTGTCAAGCCACTTCAGTTCAAGATCGAAAGGCATGCCCCATAGCTCTTTGGTTTTCTTAAGTTTTGCTTCTAATCATGATCGTTACGTACTGATCCGTTCTTGGTACTGGTTTATTGCATCGTTTTAAGTTTCTCTTAATATTTCATATCCTCAACGTTAATACCGGATTGGTATAAAATAATTTAATGTACGAGATTAAAAAAAATAATTTTAGAAAGAGGAAATGATCTTCTAATCTATGTAGATGGTAGTTGTTGGAGTGCCACTGCTGTCAACCATGTTGTCAATGTAGAGAAACTCAACAAGACTCATGATATTTTTGGTGTTCATACATTTATGGTTTTAATCCGCATCCATTGGAGAATCATGTTTTACAAAAGCAAACTCATCAAGTCCAAATTGAATAATTGATACACACCCAACCAATGTAGTCAAAAGCGAGTTTCTACGTAGAAACATTTTGGTGATCTAGAAGCGTAAAATCGTAAGTTTTTAAGCGGTGTTTTTAACAACGTAAGTTATAAAAACTGAGATTTTGTGTAGAAGCGTTTTAGTGACCTAGAAACGTAAAATCGTAAGTTTTAATGTTTTAAAACACGATTTTAACTACATTGCACCCTGACCCAACTACTATCTATAACATGAACATGTGGCATTTTGTACACAATTATCATATAATATTGTGTATACGCATTTGTCACTGAATTATAAGTCATGACATAGTCTATACACATTTGTATACTAGTTCATGAATATTTAGCATACACCGAATAAATGTTTGATTCGTAAACACTCAACATCGCATCTAGATCTAGATGACCTAGTATTCAAAGACAAGACAATAGGATTAAAATATCCACAATAAGAATAATATGGAGTTCATTTGGTAAGGGAGCCAGGGAGGTAGACGTCTAGGACTAATCTGCACCGTGCACAAAAAGAAGTGCACTAATTATGAAATTTGGCTGTGGACTCTGTCTCCGTGTTACCAGGTGTATATAGCATATATGGGCGACCGTCCAAAGAGCCAAGGTTCTCTAACTCTTCCCGAGCTCCACATCGACTTGCTTCGACGCATCATTGGCAGTGCTAGGGTCGCCTCAGATTCCTTGATCTACAGCTACCATCGGAGCTTCAACGGCTTCGCTGCCAGACTAACACAGGCCGAGCTTCTGAAACTTGCCGGTGGGTTTTCTTTTTTCTTCCTCATACGTTTCATTTCCCCTGTCGTCGGAGCTTCAATGTCGTACTCTGTTTCCTTTCATTACGGCAGCCTATGAAGGTGTAGTTTCTGTGTTCCCCAACAAGATAGTGAAACTCCACACGACAAGATCATGGGATTTCATCGGCTACCCGAAGAATGCGTCGACATCCACCCGCCGCCAACAGAGCAACATGATCATCGGAATGCTCGACACCGGGGTCTGGCCGGAGTCCCAGAGCTTCGACGATTCCGGTTACGGCCCACCTCCAAAGAAATGGAAGGGTAGATGCCAATCGTCCTCCAATTTCACCTGTAACAAGTAACGAACACTAAACCCTAACTATACTCTGTTTTTGTACCCCCAATCTGATAGCTTTAATTGGAATGGCCCTAATGGTCTGGAATTTGATAGCTTTAATTGGAATGACCCTTTTTTTACAGTAAGATAATTGGAGCACGGTACTACAATGCTGAAGAAGATTACGGTCCAGACGATATCCGTTCACCAAGGGATTCGGAAGGCCATGGAAGTCACACTGCATCCACTGCTGCAGGGAACCTTGTCACCTCGGCTAATCTCTATGGCATTGCCAATGGGACTGCCCGCGGCGGGGTACCAGCTGCTCGAATCGCTGTCTACAAGATCTGCTGGTCTTTTGGTTGTTCAAGTGCTGATATTCTAAAAGCTTTTGATGATGCTTGTGCTGATGGAGTCGACATAATCTCGCTCTCAGTTGGTGGTGGGCCAATGGATTATTTCCGTGACCCCATTGCTATTGGGGCTTTCCATTGCATGAAGAAGGGAATCTTAACTTCCAACTCGGCTGGCAACAGTGGCCCTACTCCTGGATCGGTCGCCAATGGCTCTCCTTGGTCACTCACTGTTGCTGCTAACACCATTGACAGAAAGTTGACGACCAATGTCAAGTTGGGTAATGGCAAAATTTATAATGTGAGACATGGAAGTTCCAGGTTTTCTCTTGATAATTCTGTTGTGTTGCTTTAGGAATTAACGATTTAACCATACTAGAACTTGTTTCTTCTTTTATATCAATCATACAGGGGAGCGCTCTCAACACTTTTCAGCCCAAGAAACCGATGTACCCTCTTATCTACGGTGGAGATGCACCAAATAAGACGGCAGGATATGATGGAAACGTTTCCAAGTAAGTACATGAAAAAGGGCTGAAACCAGTTCCTAAACATTTATACACGAAAGCAACAATGTAATTTCGTCATTATCATTACTAAACATTGCAGGTATTGCGACTCGGATTCTTTGGATAAAAACCTGGTGCAAGGGAAAATTGTTTATTGTGAGACTGGCAGCCAGGGAGATGGAGCTATAGCTGCTGGTGCCGTTGGGGCCATAATGGGAAACAATGATCAGGGAGATGTGGCGTTTCCTTTCCCTTTGCCCGTCTCTCTCTTGAATGAAACGGATGGAAACAATGTTGTGAAATACTCAAACTCAACTAGGTACAACGGCAGGGCAAATGGCTACTAAAGGCCTATTTGAGCATTTTCATTGACCTCACAAATAGATTACTACACCATATTGTTGAATGTATGAGTGAACTTCATGTTGAATTCTTGTGATATCTTTTGCTAGGGGCCCAACTGCAGTGATATCCAAGACGGTTGACTACCTGGATGGCTCACCCGCTTACGCGGTTTACTTTTCCTCGAGGGGTCCAAATACGATAACCCCTGACATTCTTAAAGTAATACATGAATAAGTTCTTAGTTTTGGGTCTTGTGATTTTGGTTCCTTCAGCTTAATCTGATTAGCTTATATATATGCAGCCCGACTTGACAGGACCAGGAGTAAATATACTGGCAGCATGGTCTAAGGCTACAACTGTGTCGGGAGAACCTGGTGACAAAAGAGTTGTCCCATACAACATCATCTCCGGTACTTCAATGTCTTGCCCCCATGTATCTGGAGCAGCTGCTTATGTCAAATCGTTCCACCGTACTTGGTCCCCTGCTGCGATTAAGTCAGCTCTTATGACAACAGGTGCTCATGTTATTCTTGAAATATATCAGCTTTACCCTTGAGCTAAGTTGGTGAAAATCTCAATTGAAAATAATTTCTACTAATCGATATTTCCTGAAATGCAGCTCAACCCCTGAGTGCCAAGTATAATCCTGAGGCTGAGTTAGCATACGGGACAGGACAAATTGATCCAATCAAGGCTGCAGATCCTGGACTAGTATATGATGCTAGGGAGAAGGATTATATCAGATTTCTCTGCGGCCAAGGGTATTCGACCAAGCAACTCCAACTTGTCACTGGAGATCCGAGTGCTTGCGCTGCGGCAACAAATGGAACCGTGTGGGATCTAAACTACCCTACTTTTGCTCTATCAGCAGCCAGATCAGGAGTCTCTGTGTCTCGGGTATTTCACAGAACCGTCACAAATGTTGGATCAGCAAATGTGACATATAAAGCCACGGTAAAGGCACCGGCAAACCTTAAGGTTCGGGTTAACCCAAGTGTGCTTAGTTTCAAGACTACTGGGGAGAAAAAGCCATTTGCTGTGACAGTCTCTACTGTGGTTAAGAACTATACCATATCTGGGATTTTGGTCTGGAGTGATGGGAAGCACATAGTAAGGAGTCCCATTGCCGCATTTATGTCATTCAGTGAGTGATTATGCATTAAGCTGGGGGACTGTATCTGTTGGGAAGTTTGATTATGAGAAAATTTTAGTTGGTGGCATGCTGGATGTAAGTATATGTTCTACTAAATACATTTGAAATTATTGTAGGATTAAAGTTGTAATGTACTTTGATTCATCAACATTGAAATCTACTATCATCTTTACGATTCGCTTACTGCCAAAGATACTGCGACGTTAGACATTACTTTATGTCTTGACTCTGTAGCAGCAATTCTTGGCATCCATTAACTGTAGATACCTTCAAACTGGACACACTTTTATTTTTACAGGTCTTTCACCCAATCGATCACAAGGCAACCGTATTTGTACAGCTACACTAAATCATGGCGTTAGTTCACGTATAGTATTATAGTTGATAGATAGGTAAAATGTTGCAGGTTCATGTGCAGATTAACGATGGTGATGTTGCATGTTGGGGAATGATCCAAATTCAGTTGTTCCAGTGAAGTCATCTAGCTCATAGTTCCCTGAGTTGGAAAATTTTGGCTTTTCAGATGTTGTGCTTTGTCTCGCTCTCTTGTGCAGGGTGTTTCTATCAATACGTTGGACGTGAACGGCACAATGTTCTCTCTCGTTCATGCTGGATAAGTCCCAAACACCAATTTAAATTTCACTGCTTAAATGTCCTTAAACCTACTTCCTGATAATGTGTTGACTTATGGTCCTTCTCATCAAGTTTGGTTGCGGAATTCTTCTGATACATTTTATGTTAATTCAATGTGCAGGCGTTTGGCTCATGATAAATTTCCGGGGTGATAATACATCCCCTTCAAGTATGATTTGGAGACACAAGATCCCCTTGAAAGTTTGTGGATTTATTTGGTTTGTGTACTATCAGAGCATCTTAACGCATTAACAACGAAGAAACAATGAAACGAGGTGGATGAAACTATCTAGTCGATGCTGCCTCTGCCTCAACAACGAAGAAACAACAGACCATCTACTAATTCAATGCCCTTTTTTCTCAGGATGTTTGGCAGCGGGTTGACCTTGCTATCTCACTACATACTCTTCAACTTACGAGCATCATTGATATCATTAGAATCTGACCTACCCTGTCTTCATCTTGCCCTTCGGGATGGTTTTCGGCGAATGCTCTTCACGCAGTTTGTTGGTTTCTATGGAAAGAAAGGAACAACCGTTCGAGGGAAAGAGTACACGAGTAAAGTGGTCAGCTGCAGAATTGTTGGTGCATGGATTCAGTGGTTGCAGGCAATAGCGAAAATTGATAGAATGGATAGCTAGGTTGGCTCTGAATCTTCTCCTTCTTGACTATTTTTTACTGTTTTTGCCGCCAAGATGTGAGGTGTCTCTTTCCCCATATGTTAGGCTCTTCTTGTGTGTTTTCAAGGGTCCTTAGTCTCGTTCATAATGAGACTTTGCTGCATCTCTTGCTGTATCTGTACTTCATTTCTGTTCTGATCTTAATTGATTTCGCCATTATCTTAAGAAAAAAGTGCATTGCTTTAGAATCTAGGTAATGGCTTTGGCTTCCTTTTGATGGAGTTCTTGGAGTTCCAAGAACTAACAAAGTAATTAACTTCAAGAAATTCAATATCTTTGAGTAGAACATCTTTTAGGCTTTAACCATGACAAATAAATCTAATATATGCTGAACCACAATAGATTTGATTCTTTGTTGTTTATGTAACGTATTGATATAAGATTCATTTTCATAAATCTTCCAACAATTTAAGATAAATAGTTCTTGAGTGTTCAAACCAGTAAATTTTTTCTTATAAGGGTAAAAAAAGTCGGATTTTTGATTCTCCACATAACAAAAAAATAGTCATTAGTAGATCGTATCCTTAGCTTGAAAAATATACAATGGAGAATAAGTCAGTTTTTGGTTCTCCAAATGACAATACGACATGGAATTAATCAGGGGGGAGAACTTCTGCAGCCTGGTTCATTGATATCAATTCCTGTCTTCTTCAGTCTCTGCGGAGGACTAATGATCTGTAATTTTGGAATGGTGTTTTAATGTTTTCCCTTCTCCATTACCATCCTTATAAAACCCTCTATTCCTAAACTGGAAAGTGGAAACAGACATCTTTCCTCCAATCTAAAGAAACCTTGGTAAGGCAGCCATGTACAGCAGTTCTCCATCCTCGCGGCTTCTGGCCCTCAAGCTTGCCTACTGTGCCTTGTTCTTGCTCATGATTGCTTGCTGTCCAGCCACTTCTGTTCAAGATCGAAAGGCATGCCCCATAAATATAAGTCTTGTAGTTTCCTTATTACTTCTTCTGTCAATGGAGTTTCTTCTTTTCAATCACTGATTTTTTCATGGCGCTGATTTATTCAAGTTCGTTATTGTTTTGTTTTCTAAATGTTAAACTATGGGACTGGTTAAAAATAACTCAATGGACGAGATTGAAAAAAATAAATTTAGGAAGAGGATTATATGATGGCCTCCTAATCTAGATGGTAGTTGTTGGAGTACCACCGTCCGTGTTGGCAAGCGTAGATAAACTCATATAGACTCTAATTTTTCTAATGTTCAAACATTTATGATTTTCATTCGCATCTCTTAGAGAATCCTTTTTACGAGAACAAATTCATCCTCTCCTAATTGATACACATCCAACCCCTATTTATCAACATTATCATGTGGCATTTTATACACATATATCATATAACATTGTACATACACATTTGTCACTAAATTATACTTCATGACATAGTTTAGTACACATTTGTATCCTAGTTCATGAGTACTTAGTATACACCGGATAAGTATTGAATATTCGATTCGTAAACACTCAACATCACATCTTCATGATTTAGTATACAAAGACAAGACAATAGGACTAAAATGTTCACAATAAGAATAATATAGAGTTCATTTGGTAAGGTAGGTATACTTCTAGGACTAATCTGCACCGTGCCAAGAAAGAAGTACACTAAATATGAAATTTGGCTGTGGACTCTGTCTCCGTGTTGCCAGGTGTATATAGCATACATGGGCGACCGTCCAAAGAGCCAAGGTTCTCTAACTCTTCCCGAGCTCCACATCAACTTGCTTCGACGCATCATCGGCAGTGCTAGGGTCGCCTCAGATTCCTTGATTTACAGCTACCATCGGAGCTTCAACGGCTTCGCTGCCAGACTAACACAGGCCGAGCATCAGAAACTTTCCGGTGGGTTTTTTTTTTTCTTCCTCTCACGTTTCCTTTCCCCTACCGTCGGAGCTTCAATGGCTTACTCTTTTTCCTTTCTTTACGGCAGCCTATGAAGGTGTAGTTTCTGTGTTCCCCAACAAGATCGTGAAACTCCACACGACGAGATCATGGGATTTCATCGGCTACCCCAAGAATGCGTCGACATCCACCCGCCGCCAACAGAGCAACATGATCATCGGAATGCTAGACACCGGAATCTGGCCGGAGTCCCAGAGCTTCGACGCTTCCGGATATGGCCCACCTCCGAAGAAATGGAAGGGTCGCTGCCAATCGTCCTCCAATTTCACCTGTAACAAGTAACGAACACTAAACCCTAACTATGCTCTGTTTTTGTCCACCCCAATATCATAACCTAATGGTCAGGAATTTGATAGCTTTAATTGGAATGGCCCCTCTTTTTTTACAGTAAAATTATTGGAGCTAGGTACTACAATGCTGAAGGAGATTACGGTCCTGACGATATCCCTTCACCAAGGGATTCCGAAGGCCATGGAAGTCACACTGCGTCCACTGCAGCAGGGAACCTTGTCACCTCAGCTAATCTCTATGGCATTGCCAATGGGACTGCCCGCGGCGGTGTTCCTGCTGCTCGAATCGCTATCTACAAGATCTGCTGGTCTTTTGGTTGTTCAAATGCTGATATTCTAAAAGCTTTTGATGATGCTTGTGCTGATGGAGTCGACATAATCTCGCTCTCAGTTGGTGGTGGGCCAATGGATTATTTCCGCGACCCCATCGCTATTGGGGCTTTCCATTGCATGAAGAAGGGAATCTTAACTTCCAACTCGGCTGGCAACGATGGCCCTGCTCCTGGATCAGTCGCCAATGGCTCTCCTTGGTCACTCACTGTTGCTGCTAACACCATCGACAGAAAGTTGACGACCAATGTCAAGTTGGGTAATGGCAAAACTTATAATGTGAGACATGGAAGTTCCAAGTTTTCTCTTAATATTTTTGTTGTGTTGCTTTAGGAGTTGACGATTTAACCTTATAAGAACTTGTTTCTTCTTTTACTTCAATCATGCAGGGGAGCGCTCTCAACACTTTTCAGCCCAAGAAACCAATGTACCCTCTTATATACGGTGGAGATGCACCAAATAAGACGGCGGGATATGATGGAAACGTTTCCAAGTGAGTACATGAAAAAAACAGTTCAAATCAGTTCTGAAACATTGGTACAGAAAGGCAACATTTTAATTTTGTGATTATAATTACTTAAAATTGCAGGTATTGCTACTCGGACTCCTTGGATAAAAACCTGGTGCAAGGGAAAATTGTTTATTGTGAGGCTGCCAGCCAGGGAGATGGAGCTATAGCAGCTGGTGCTGTTGGAGCCATAATGGGAAACAATGAACAGGGAGATGTGGCATTTTCTTTCTCTTTGCCCATCTCTCTCTTGAATGAAACGGATGGAAACGATGTTGTGAAATACTCAAACTCGACAAGGTACAACCCCAATGGATTGCTGCACCACATTGTTGAATGTATGAATGAACATATTGTTGAATTCTTGTGATTTCTTTTGCTAGTGGCCCAACTGCAGTGATATCCAAGACGGTTGACTACCTGGATGGCTCACCAGCTTACGTGGTTTACTTTTCCTCGCGGGGTCCAAATACGATTACCCCTGACATTCTCAAAGTAAAAAAATGAATTAGTTCTCTGTTTTGGTTCTTGTGGTTTTGGTTCCTTCAGCTTAATCTGATGAGCTTTTATATATGCAGCCAGACTTGACAGGACCAGGAGTAAATATACTGGCAGCATGGTCTAAGGCTACAACTGTGACAGGAGACCCTGGTGACAAAAGAGTTGTCCCATACAACATCATCTCCGGTACTTCAATGTCTTGCCCCCATGTATCTGGAGCAGCAGCTTATGTCAAATCGTTCCACCGTACTTGGTCCCCTGCAGCGATTAAGTCAGCTCTTATGACAACAGGTGCTCATGTTACGCTAGAAACATATCAGCTTTACCCTTGAGCTAATTCTGTGAATAATCTCTAAAGATAGTAAGAAACAATTTGAAGTTAATTTCTATTAATCTATGTTTCCTAACATGCAGCACAACCCCTGAGTGCCAAGTATAATCCTGAGGCAGAGTTAGCATACGGGACAGGACAAATCGATCCCATCAAGGCTGCAGATCCTGGACTAGTGTATGATGCTACGGAGAAGGATTATATCAGATTTCTCTGCGGTCAAGGGTATTCGACCAAGCAACTCCAACTTGTCACTGGAGATCCTAGTGCTTGCTCTGCAGCTTCAAATGGAACCGTGTGGGATCTAAACTATCCCACATTTGCTCTATCAGCAACCAGATCAGGAGCCTCTGTGACTCGGGTATTTCACAGAACCGTTACAAATGTTGGATCAGCTAATACAACCTACAAAGCCATGGTAAAAGCACCAGCAAACCTTAAGGTCCGGGTCAACCCAAGTGTGCTTAGTTTCAGGACTATTGGAGAGAAAAAAACATTTGCTGTGACAGTCTCCACTGTGGTTAAGAACTATACCATAACTGGGATTTTGAGCTGGAGTGATGGGAAGCACATTGTAAGGAGTCCCATTGCTGCATTCATGTCATTCAGTGAGTGATTATGCATTATACTGGGGAGTGTATCTGTTGGGGGAGTTTGATTTATGGGAAATTTTAGTTGGTGGCATGCTTGCTGGATGCAAGTATATGTTCAAGTAAATATATTTAAAATTATTATAGAATTAAAGTTGTAATGTACTTTGATTCATGTACATTGAAATCTAATATCATCTTTCTGAATTCTGATTCGTTTACTGCCAAAGATGCCCTTCCTTTTGACATTACATTATGTCCTGAGCTGTACAGCAGCAATTCTTAGCATCCATTAACTGTAGAGACCTTCCAACCAGAAACACTTTGATTCAGGTAGTAGAATGAGATTGAGGTCAAAACAGTTAACCAAAATGAAAGAATTTGCAATTGCAGCAATGCAACTGCTACCATAAAGAGAAGTACAGAAGCCAAGGATAAGTTGGCACTAATTGTTGCTTTCTTTTCATCAGGGGGTCCGAATATAATTCACTCTTCCTGTATAAAAACATCCTCAAAAGTAGTTCAATCAGGTAGGATCTTGCCTTGGTATAATGTATAACTGGTTGCAGCCAGATATCGCTGCAGGAGTTTGACATTCTAGCAGCTTGGTCTCCAGTCAGTCCCGTAATTGACTTACCAGAGGATCCTAGATTCTCTGCGTTCAACAACATCTCAGTAACATCAATGGCTTGTCCACCCCGCGACTGAAGCTGCTACTTATATAAAATCCTTTCACCCCACACGTTCCCCTTCTTCTATCAAGTCTTCCCTATTGCAATACAGGTAATTATCCAAGCTGCAGCAAGTTCAGATCTCTGTCCATATTCCTGATGTGGCTTCTAATGCTAATTTCTAATTGAACAATCCCCTTGTGCAGCTTCTCCAACGAGTTCTGAGACCAATCCTGATGCTGAACTTGCATATGGAGCAGGGCAGCTTAACCCTGTCAAGGATGTGAATCCTGTGCTGAGATATGATGCTGAACCAATAGACTATGCCTAGTTCTTGTGTGGACAAGGCTACAGCACAAGGGTGTTGCAGCTTATAACCAGAGATCACTCTGCTAGTTCTGCAGCAATCAATCTGACAGTTTTTGAGCTGAACTACCCATCATTTTTCTCTTTTGGTCTCGGGTTCTGTAAGAAATGTCAGCAGAGCCTATAAGAGGGCTATGAGCCTGTGACTAATATTGTTGGAGCAGTAAATTCCAGTTAATTTTCTTCCCAAGGAAAGAATTCCACGTTTGATCTTATGTTGCTATATTCAGTCTACAAATTAATCATTACTTTATTATCCATTAAAACAGAATCATTTCTTTCTCGAATACTAATACACAGCACAGGTAACGACGAATCAGAGAAGCGGAGATGGACAAGACTCGTCGTCAGGAGTAGCGATATTGAACGATACCATCTTTTGTCTGAACCTATGGTTGATGCCGATGTCTGTAATTGGCCAGTGTTCTTACTTTTGTCGCCATATATACAAAGTCCCCTATATAAAGCACTGCAACCTGCGTTAGCAATGGAGAACAAAACACATTGATCATCATCACCACATAAAAGAAGAAAGAGTGTACATTGCCAACATGGGAAAGGCAATGCAGAGAACTTCTTTAATTTCTTCCTGCCTTCTGCTTCTCGCCGTCGCCTGTTGCCTTGTCGTCAGTTGCAGAGGCAGCAGCAGTGACAACTTGCAGCAAGACAGAAAGGCATGACCATTTTCATCTCATCTTTGTCTGCCTCATATTTTCACTACATGGCACTTGTTAGACTGTAAATCTGTGGCAGTACGTGGTAAAAGATTTAATGTACACTGTGGCTTGTCCGTTCTTGCCAGAAAGCCGGATCTTGCATGTTGAATATTGGGCCAAACCCTAGAGTCCACATTATGAAAATAAACATTATTGTACCGTGGGCCTAAGTGCCAGCCCACTAATTTGGCCCCCACGTCAGAATTAAGCTTTTTCGGTCGTTGACCGATGGAATTTGCATGCATGGTTGCAGTTATACATCGTGTACATGGGCGACCGCCCTAAAGCCGATGCTCCACCTTCCGCACTCCACCGCAGCTTGCTCCACCGCGCCACCGGCAGGTAAAAAAAAAAAAAGCAAGAAGAAATTTCACAGCCTATTCTGTTTGAACATGAACTTAACTATGGGGGATTTGTCTTTCTCCGGCCAGCCTAAGACTCGCGGCAGATTCCTTGGTCTACAGCTACCACAGGAGCTTCAACGGCTTTGCTGCCAAGCTGACTGAGTCCCAGAAGGACAAACTAGCCGGTGGGTCTAAACATTTTCAACCAAATCATATAATGGCGGATTGATCTCCTTCAATAATCAAAGAGCTATTTTTTTTACAGGGAATTCAAACTAAGTCTCATACCGTTGGCTGGGTTTCTGTTTGCAGGGTACAAAGATGTGGTGTCTGTGTTCCCTAGTGAGATGAAAAAACTCCACACGACAAGATCATGGGACTATCTGGGTTTCCCCCAAAACGTCACGAGAGCAACCGTGGAGAGCGACATCATCATCGGAATGCTCGACACCGGAATTTGGCCCGAGTCCCAAAGCTTCAACGATTCAGGTTACGGCCCTCCTCCAAAGAAATGGAAGGGCACCTGCCAGTCCTCTTCCAATTTCACCTGCAACAAGTAATTCACCCCTCCCAATTTTCACTCCAATTTCATTAACCTTTTGTTGCTAGTCATAACCATAAATTAGTTGATAACAATAACTGGAGTTGATGGAAGATAAATGATATTTGATCACTTTTTTACACGCCCTCTCAAACGAAAATTAATTTACGAGCTCAAGTTTGCACATGTCTGTCATATAACGTGCTTTAGAAACAACGACTAATATTAGGGATCACGAGAAATTAAATGCGTGAATCCAAGAACAAATCAGTACTGATACCACATGCATGTCATAAACAAACTGGTATCAATAACTCGAGCTAAGGTTAATTATGGATCTTTAACCACTTCCTGCATCGTGATTTGATTCTTTTGAGCAGTAAGATAATTGGAGCTAGATACTACCAAACCGGAGTCAAGGTTACCGCAAAGGATTTCCCATCCCCTAGAGACTCCATAGGCCACGGGACCCACACAGCATCCACCGCAGCCGGCAGTACGGTGACACCCGCCAGCCTCCTCGGCATTGCTTCCGGGACGGCCCGAGGAGGCGTGCCCTCCGCTCGAATCGCCGTTTACAAGATCTGCTGGGCCGGCGGCTGCTCCGATGCCGACATTCTAGCGGCGTTCGACGACGCCATCGCCGACGGAGTCGACGTAATCTCGCTCTCCGTTGGTGGTTCCGCAAAGGATTATTTTGAGGACTCCATTGCTATTGGAGCTTTCCATTCGATGAAGAACGGGATTCTCACTTCCAACTCAGCTGGCAACGAAGGCCCCGGTCTTAAAACGATCTCCAATTGCTCTCCTTGGTCGCTCTCTGTGGCTGCTAGCTCCACTGACAGGAAGTTCGAAACAAATGTGAAGTTGGGTAACGGCAAGGTTATCACGGTGAGATGGCGGGATCGTGTTGGTTATGGTTTTGATCTGGTTTTTTGTTTTTTGCTGGGTTTCTGATTCAAGCTCTACGTTGCATGGATGATGCCATGCATGCAGGGGAACTCTCTGAATACGTTCGAGCCTGGTCAGAAGATGTATCCCATAATCTACGGTCGCGATGCTCCAAATAAGACCGCTGGTGGTGAGATGTCAAGGTGAGCAATTATCAAGATATTTATCTAAATGTTTATAAAAATATTATTACGTAAGACTTCCATAATGGTTGTGCGTCTTACATAAGTCATCGTTAATATCCATTACGTAAAAACACCATATATTAAGAAAGATTTACGTAATGCCATTCTACAACTATGACGTAAGAGAAATATACATTATGTAAATAGTACTATACATAATTTAATGACCTTGAAAACCTACTATAGCAAGTAAAAAATGCAAGTCAATTTGACTTTAGGTCACCGTAGCACATCCGTAAATAAATAATGTCAAGAACTCGTATTTTGAAAAGGGTCGTTTGGACGGATCAATTGAAAAAACGAGACAATTTGACCAATTATCTCATTTTACAAAAGGAGTAATTTAAAACGAGTCAATTGGAACTGTCAGCCCCACCCCCTAGATAATTGTAATTGCTTCAAAATGAGTTGGTTTGAAATTCTTCAGACATAATTGTTTCATCTAAATTTTATGCTGCCAAACGGATCAATTTGACCAGATTGTCTCAAAACGAAACAATTGATCCGTTAGAATCTTTCACCCAAACAACTCCAAATAAATTATTGCTGAAGACTTTTTGATCAAGGACTTTGAAATAATGATTATACTGACCTAATGAATTCACTTTCACCCGTAAACATTGTAGGTACTGTTATGCAGGGTCATTGGACAAGGATCTCGTGAAAGGCAAGATTGTGTACTGCGATGATGCTACCGCTTCCGGGTTGGGACAGATAGACGCCGGCGCCGTTGGCTCTATAATGAAATCTTCTTCACCTTATGGAGAATTGGAATCTCCTTTTCCTCTACCCGTTTCTCTCATGGGTGCCGCTACTGGAGATAAAGTTTTGGAATACATAAATTCCACTAAGTATGCTCGAACAACTCTTATATACATTTTCCAACTTGATACACATGTCAATAAATAGATCAAGAGCACCAAATGGCTTAACCTACTTGCAATATTTCTTATGGTTTCTTTTACCAGGAACCCAACTGCAGTCATAACGAAGACCACCGATTCCACAGATTCTAATTCATCATCCCGTCATGTCGTCTTCTTTTCATCTAGGGGCCCTAATCCCATAACCAGTGACATCCTCAAGGTAACAAGGTCTAAAGAAAGGAATTGTCAAACAACACTTCATTATTCACTTGGTCTCAATAACTCGAGTTGTTCGGAGAAAATTTATTATGAATCTTAATTATATCACTCTCTTCTATACTTCATCAAACAAAAATCAACTCACGAGTTTGAAGTTTGTACATGTTCACCATACCCCGTGTGATTAAATAATCAACTGTTAATATATTATGATCGTAAAAATTCGAACACGTGACCACCCAACCGCTTTCTTATATTACCGCTTTTTGGAATACATACATTAAAAGAAAGGAATACTTTTCAAACTTGTTTTTACGGGTTTGGATGAATCCTGATGATTCTTGTATAATTATGTACAAATGTAGCCGGACTTGACGGCACCAGGATTGAACATCTTGGCAGCATGGACTCAAGCAAACCCTCTGACGGATCAACCCGGAGAAACGAGAATCGTCCCGTACAACATCATCTCCGGAACATCCATGTCCTGTCCGCACGTGTCGGGAGCCGCAGCTTACGTTAAAACATTCCACCCTACGTGGTCTCCCGCGGCCATTAAGTCTGCTCTAATGACAACATCTCGTTCGCTGACCGTCAAAGACAATGCCGACGCCGAGTTTGCGTACGGGTCGGGCCAGATCGACCCATCAAGAGCTGTGGACCCTGGGCTGGTATACGATGCCGGGGAGAGTGACTACGTGAAGTTGCTCTGCGGCCAAGGATACACCACGAAACAGCTCCGACTTGTGACGGGAGATGAGAGTGTTTGTTCGTCGACGACGAATGGAACAGTGTGGGATCTTAACTATCCTTCTTTCGCTCTGTCGTCGTCAACGCCTGCGAACAGTGTAACCCGAGTGTTTCGTAGGACCGTCACGAATGTTGGGAAGGCGGTGTCTAGCTACAAGGCGACGGTAAATGGGCCGTCGGGGCCGTCGGGGCTAAAGGTTGAAGTTGTGCCGGACGTGCTTAACTTCAAGAGTGTTGGGGAGAAACAGGAGTTTGTTGTGACGGTGACGGCTGGATTGGGGATCGTTACGCTCTCTGGTTCGCTGGTTTGGAGTGATGGCAGTCACGTGGTTAGAAGCCCTATTGTGGCGTTCGTCGCGTGACTGATGTAAAAGCGGTTTAATTAAAACTCAGTTTATATATTCTGTCGCGACGTCGTTATTAATTGTATTTTTAATTTGATGTTTTTCTATATGATTCATTATGTAATAATATGGTAATAGAATTTGCATTGCAGAAATATTATTGAGCTTTCCTCCCTTTATTAGATCAAAACTATGTTAATTAATTGGCCGTATGTTTGGACGATCAATAGTTGGAACTGATATGATCTAAGAGGTTCATTTGTTCAATTTCCTTTAAAAAAGGTATAGCAATTAGGAAATAATAATTACTTAGAGCCCATCTATGTAACCGGAATCGATAGAAGAATACTAAAATAAAAAATAAAAAAAGAATCGATAGAAAAATAACACAATGCTTGCAAATTGCGATGGACAGCACATTTTCTCTGTCTTGACTCAAATTTAATAAATAATTAATGTGCTCTTCACCACATGCTAGGTTGCACATATATAAATTGTCCCCAAAATAGGTGGTAGCTTTTGAAATTGATTTCCCCTTTCAAAATGAGTTCTTATTCTTTTTTTCTCAAAACTGTGCCGATTTGTTGTTTTCTCTCGAGACTAATTTGTTTCTTGTCAGATGTCATCATCTGGCATCTGCTGCCCTTTTGCTTTTAATCTAAACTAGTTCGAATTGATTAATGACTTGTTTCCATATAAATATATTCATCGATAACGATTTCATAAATAATACTCGTGCATCATGTAACACAATGATGATATATGATACTTGATTGGTGGCAGAGATCACTAGACGAGCTCCACAATGGATGTGCTGTCTCACGCTCTTACATAGATTGAATCGATCCAGCACAACGAGGTTTCGGTCCCTTTTATGAAGTGTCACAATGCGGCAGCTAGCAGCAAACAATCCTCCTGATAACCCGCCATGGGGAAGAAGACAGAAATAAAAGCCTACATAAAGGAACCTTGGACAACATCTACCATGGCCTGTGTACAACAATGGCAATGAAGACTTCTAGTTTCCTAAATTCATGGCTTCTGGTGGCCGCCGTCATCGTTTCTTGGCTCGCCCTCAGTTGCTGTGGCAATGAGACCGATAGAAAGGCATATACATAGACATATATCGAGCTTAATTACTTTAATTTCCTTATTATTAGTCTCATTTATATGATGATTCTATATATATATTTGCAGATGTTCATAGTGTACATGGGCGATCGTCCCCACAACATTGAAACTCCTACAGCTGCTGCTTCTGCTGTTCACATTAGCCTCCTTCACAAGGTTACTGGCAGGTAAGAAAGCTAGCGTGTCACTTTTTTTTTTTTTAAGGGTGATTATTCATTATTGACTCTTGAGTTGAATCTAGAGTGTGGCAGATGTTATCATTTTCGTCTAGTCTTGAGATCTAATCCCTGAAATTAAATTTGATTTGCCTATCCAAAGCGTGAGCCTTGCTTCGGAGTCCTTGGTTTACAGCTACAGCAAGAGCTTCAATGGCTTTGCTGCCAAGCTGACAAAGGCCGAGTCAGAGAAACTGTCTGGTGGGCAATTCAGGAATTTCAATGGCTTGATCATTATTCCCCTTTAGAAGCTAATTAAGTACTCTCATAATTATTAGCTGTTTATGTTATTACATGTCACAGGACACGAAAGTGTAGTGTCCGTTTTCCCCAATCGATTGAGACAGTTACACACGACCAGATCATGGGATTTCATAGGCTTCCCCCAGAATGTCACGAGAACGACTGTGGAGAGCGACGTTATCATCGGAATGCTCGACTCCGGAATCTGGCCGGAATCTCAAAGCTTCAACGATTCAGGGTACAGCCCACCTCCACAGAAGTGGAAGGGCACCTGCCAATCCTCTTCCAATTTCACATGTAACAAGTGAGCCTCTTATACAAACTCTTCTTTCTTCAATATAGTAATTAGATGATGGATGGATAACGATTAGGTCATGGGTTCATCTATAAAAATAATTCTTCGATTCGACTAACATATATTGATATTTTTAATATATTTTTATTGCAAATTATAGAAAAACACAAGCAATTTAGACACTTCTCAACTATATGTCATGGATACATTTATAAATCATACCAAATCTTACATACCAGTTGTTGCTTTTAATTAATTTAGTTAACTTTGAATTTGCAGCAAGATAATTGGAGCTAGATTCTATCACGCCGGTGAAGACTTCAAGAATGGCGAAATCCCATCTCCTAGGGATTCCGATGGTCACGGGACTCACACCGCATCCACGGCAGCAGGCAACACAGTGACTCCGGCCAGCCTCTTCGGCCTCGCCTCCGGGACAGCCCGCGGCGGCGTTCCTTCCGCCCGAATCGCCGTCTACAAGATCTGCTGGGAAGATGGCTGTTCGGATGCCGACATTTTAGCAGCTTTTGATGACGCTATTGCTGATGGAGTCGACATTATCTCCTTGTCGGTCGGAGGTTGGCCACAAGACTATTTCGAGGACTCCATAGCTATTGGAGCTTTCCATTCCATGAAGAATGGGATTCTCACGTCCAACTCGGCTGGCAATTCTGGCCCTGATCGAGGAACTGTCTCGAATTGTTCTCCTTGGTCGCTTTCCGTGGCGGCTAGCACTACTGACAGAAAGTTCACCACGGGAGTGAAGTTGGGTAATGGCAGAATTTACCAGGTGATACATTGCGTTGTTTTGGTGACCGAGAATCATGAAAGCGTAAATTTTTAAATTTTAAAGTGAGATTTTGACTATATTAGTTTAAAAAAATGTGATTTCATGTAAAAGTATTTTCATAATAAAAAATCATAAGTATATAAATGTTTAAGTTTTAAAACGTAATTTTGATTGTTTTGTCTCTTTAATTATTGTAGGGAGTATCTATGAATACATACGAGCCAAGTAAGTTGTATCCTCTCATCTATGGTGGAGATGCGCCAAACGGAACTTTTGGAGTTGATTCATCCAGTTCAGGGTGGGTACCTTGAGGCAGAAAAATAAGATAATTCGTCCAAATACTAATATTACCTTCTTTTTTTTTTACAGATTTTCCTGCAAAATGCATGTTTTTTTTATTCAAATACATGTATTTTATGGTTGCCTAACGATTGGGCGTGAAAAGTTTCAATGCTGTTAAAAATGAAAAAAAAAAAAAAAATCAGAAAAAGAGAACTCCTAGCGTTTTTTTCTTTTGTATCATTCTATGGTAATGACTGTTGTATTTTAGGGGTGTATCATACTCCAAGTTAAGTGATCACACCGTTGGATGTATTTCGTTGTACTTCACCGAATCAAATCATCGATTATTATTATCTTACATTAAATTAGTTTTTGGGTTTAGAGAATATATCGGAACGTGAAGTTTAACCATTAGAAGTTAGAGTATATAGTATTATACAACAAACTCGATTTTAACTCATAATCTAGATAGAACTATCTTACTATAAGTATTCGGATTATCGTATACTCCATAAATACAGCTAACTCATCATTCTATTTATGTAAAACAAAAAACAAAAACAAAAAACTACAGGCGTTGCGATATAGGAAGCTTGAACAAGACATTGGTGCAAGGCAAAATTGTGGTTTGCAACGGTGTCAACCAAGGGACTGAGCAAGTTAGAGTGGGTGCCGCCGGTTCCACAATGATTCCTCCTCCCAAAACTGTTAATCTACGTGAGGTGGCATATCCATTTCCTTTACCTGTTTCCATCTTGACCCATGCCGATGGAGTTGACCTTTTGGAGTACATCAACTCAACCAGGTACGTACGTAGATGGCGGGGGGGGGGGGGGGGGGGGGGGGGAAACACGTCCGATTGCATGCATGCACATATTAATGCTGTAATTTCTTAAGAAAGTTAAGTCGTAGCAGAAAAGTTGCACTGGTCTAATTACATGCTTATGATTTGTTTTCGGTTAGCGATCCAACTGGAGTGATATACAAGACACAGGAGTACTACACCAATGATGATTCATCCCCACGTGTGATCTATTTTTCTTCAAGGGGGCCTAACCCAATAACAACAGACATTCTCAAGGTAATTAATCCTCTCATTGATTAATAATTGTGTTTCTAAGGATTAAAGACTTGGTCTAGTGATTCTACCATGTGCTAAGTCTTAACGTCCTTCCCGTGGATTTGTAACATATGCATGTGTGCAGCCGGACCTTACAGCACCAGGAGTCGATATCCTGGCAGCATGGTCTGAAGCCACCACCATAACAGGACAAAATGGGGACACGAGAATCGTCCCGTATAACATAATCTCCGGCACTTCCATGTCTTGTCCCCATGCCTCAGCAGCAGCAGCTTACGTTAAATCGTTTCATCCTGCATGGTCTCCGGCCGCCATCAAGTCTGCTCTGATGACAACAGGTATATATACACTAGTGTTCTTTCGATTCTCGCGCTTCACGTATCATTTTGAGTATGATTACCCTATCATGTTTTATGATGTACGTTCATCGCAGCTCGTCAACTAAGCGTCGAAGATAACAGTGATGCCGAGTTTGCATACGGGTCGGGCCAGATCGATCCGATAAAGGCCGTGGATCCAGGATTGGTATATGACGCCGGGGAGATCGATTACGTTAGGATGTTGTGTGGGCAAGGATACAACCTTACACAACTCCGCCTTGTCACCGGAGACCAGAGTACTGTTTGTTCTGGAACTACCAGAACCGTGGGGGATCTAAACTACCCTTCTTTTGCTCTATCGTACGATAAACCTACGTCGATCACTCGCTTGTTTCGTAGAACCGTTACGAACGTGGGACCCGCACCGACAACGTACAAGGTCTTCATTGATGTCCCAGAGGAGCTCGAGATCCGAGTTGAACCAGAGGTGCTCTTTTTCAATGAGACCGGAGAGAAGCAATCGTTCGTCGTGATTGTCACGGCTGCGCTGGAAACAAGCATGTTATCTGGCTCTTTCATTCTGAGTAATGGGATCCACCTAGTGAGGAGTCCGGTTGTTGCGTTTGTTTCGGGACAAGAGGATATTTAGGGAAGAGATCATGTGTATGTGTGTGAGATGCGTTCATTGTTAATTGATCAAATTAATAAAACGGGTTGGTTTCAATAACTTGATTTATTATGAATTATAGTTTTTCAAGTATTCCTTTTCTTTTTTTAGATTTATTTTTTATTTTATTTTTCTTGCAAGTATTAGAATATTGTTACAACTTACAATAATTTAAATCTTAGGGTGTGCCTACGGTGACATGCATGTCACGGTGACTTGCACTTTCCGGTCGACCTCAGTTAGGATTAGGTCGACCTCACATAGAATTCGGTCGACCTCATATAGGATCCGGTCGACCTCATTTAGGATTCGGTCGACCTCATATAGGATCCGGTCGACCTAATATGTTGTTTCAGTGTAAAAACAGTTCATGGTGCCTACTTTGGATATTCATATCATACAATTGGCTAGATGGAAATTGAAGACTAATGACTTGTTTTGAAGCTGGAGTGTCCCTCTACATATTGAAGTGATTGAGAGCTCGATAGGAAGTCCAGAAGACCATTTTTGAACCTCATCAAAAGGCTATGCCAAAACTGGGAAACTGCCTAGAAATGGCTAAGTCTGGAAACGTGTTTGTGACGCCTATTTTTGAGCTCAATTCGAGAAGCATGAATGCGAGTCGAGTCCAGGAGCCTCTACCACGTTAAATTAGGTATGTTTTTATACAAATTCAAGGAATTGGATGAAAGATTGGATATATTTAAGGCTTCAAACAAAATGGTCGAAGTTGCTACGAAGGCTGTTTTTCTGGCAGACTTCGAGCACAAGCAAGCTGCCAGAAAAACAGCATTCGTAGCAACTTCGAGCCTTTTGTTTGAAGCCTTAAAGATATTCAATCTTTCATTCAATGCCTTGCCTTTGTATAAAAAAATACGTAATTTAACGTGGTAAAGGCCCCTGGACTTGACTCGCATCCATGCTTGTCAAATTGAGCTCCAAAGTAGGCTTGACAAACACGTTGCCAGACTTAGCCATTTTCAGGCAGTTTCCCAGTTTTGGCATAGCCTTTTGGTCAGGTTCAAAAATGGTCTTCTGGACTTTCTATTGAGCTCCCAAGTACTTTAATGTGTAGAGGGACACTTCAGCTTCAAAACAAGCCTTTAATCTCCAATTTCCATCTAGCCAATTGTAAGATATGAATCTTCAAAGTAGGCACCATGAAACTGTTTGTACACTGAAACAACTGATTAGGTCGACCTGATCCTATATGAGGTCGACCGAAAAGTACATGTCACCGTGACATGCATGTCACCGTAGCAAAGTCCTAAATCTTATATATGCTGTTTGGATGATTTTCTTCATACATTGTTTTACCGTTTTCCCAAGAGATGCCATGGCGAAAATTATATTGTGGTAGTATGAAACTATAATACCATGATGGTAAGATGGTGAAATAATTGATCTTAAAATTCATTTATCAAAAAATATGTTGAAAAAATAATGGATATTATTTTGAATATCATATTTATTTTAATTATAATTAAAAACTTAATTAACAAGAGGATATACATTTGATACTCGACCCGAACAAGAGGAACATCTACCTACGTGTCTGTACGTTTCGGCAGTATTACTATTGAGGTTTGCTTTGCCTCTTCCACAGTTACACGGTTACACCGTATCGTATGATGGGGGTTACAAGATAGTACTTGTAATTCTTCTTGCGATACAGTTGGAGCAAAGTAGTAGTTAGTAAAATATGGTACGGGTAAGTTACGTATAAAATACATATGGATGTTTTTATTTCAAATTTAAATTAATGGTACTTTTAATTTGTTAGTCCGTCAATATTGATAAAATATATTATTTTAAAAACAAATAAGATCTAACTAATAGTTAAGTTAGGAATTTAGTCATCAAATACAGATATTAAACGTGTTATACGGGTTTTATGCGTGTTTAGCACGAGAGCCATCAAATGAACGGGAGAAAATAAAACAATTCGACAATAATACAAATACTTAAATTTTAAACCGATAAACTACGTACAATCATACATACATGTATTAAACGAAGTATTTACTATAACCCTATCCTTGATAAGATACTATTTTATTGGAAAAACAAGGACAAGACAAGAACAAGCCACTAAATTGGGCAAAAAAGCAAAGGATGCCCAGTTGACGTTTGTTTCAATAGCACCAGCACAATATATTTCCGTAAACAACTAAGGATGCAAATATGTATGCTAATCGGCGGCGAGCTCAACAATGGTTTCTCCAGCTCCGGAAAGCTACACTTTTGTTGTTTGGAATATTGAATCAAAGCCGGCCTACTTTTTCACAATAATGTTGCACCATATATAATAAGTGATTAGAAACGAAAAACGAAAAGCCCTTATATATATACACATATGGTTGCACGGGGAAAGGAATACAACAGCAGCCAAACAAAGATGAAGATGGGATCATCAATGGCGGAAATGAAAACTTATCACTGCAGTACTGGTCAGAAGCGGATTCGGATTGTGACGGCAATCATCGCTTGTTGCCTCATGATGCAGAGCTACGCTGTCAATGGAACCGACGACGACGACAGGAAGGCATGTGTATTTAAGATTGTGTTTTTCCCCCTAATAACCATCTTTTCATTTTTCGTAATAACAAGTGAATTGCTAGTTTCCGTTTAATTCGGACATCTTTGGATTATGTATGGGTCGTTTCAATTCAGTACTAGTATGTAATCGATGATATCATGATTCACATAAATAAATCACACTTCGTCAAAAAATGCCAATTCACTTCGGAAGACATTCTTTAGTTCGCTGAATGACTAGTAATTAAAATGTAATTTTGAGAGTATTTCTTTCTTTAAGAAGTAAAGTTGGAAATAAAAATGTATTAGTAATGGGATGATTACTTTTCAATATTTTTGGGGGTTAGTCATTGATAAATCTGTTCAAAAAATTTTAATTTTAGAATCTATCTTTTCTTAAACAATTTTCCCACCAAGATTTTAGTGGTTAATAAAAAATGTGCTACCCAAAACAAAATTATCAAAAGTTGATGGGTACCAACATCAAGATGGCTCCAATCCAATTACAGGCTAATCACCAACTAGGATAGCTTTTGTGGGCTTAATGGGCTACCAGTTAAAGCCTAAGTAATACCAATGCTCATGGCTTCTTTCGCTATACATTGGGCCACAACATTTTGGTCCAAATAAAATGGGCTACGGCTAAAGACTCATTCCCACTTTGATCTCGGTTCTGCAGTTGTACATAGTGTACATGGGCCACAAGCCCAACACTGAAACTCCGGCAGCCGCTCAACACCAGAGTCTCCTTCAACAAATCACCGGCAGGTATGTCTCGCAACATTATGCGACGAGGCCATCATTCAATTCGAATGCGACTAACTTGAACTGGATGATTTGCCTTCCCCTAGCGTAAGCGTTGCTTCCGATTCCCTGGTCTATAGCTACAAAAGGAGCTTCAATGGCTTCGCTGCCAGGTTGACTGATGCCGAGAAAGATAAGCTCTCCGGTGGGCAACCAACTCACTATATATGATTCTTTCAATTTTCTTTCCCATGGTAAGAATTCTCATTTGAATGCCTCTGTTTAATCATTGCAGGATATGAAGGGATAGTTTCAGTTTTCCCTAGTCAGATTAGAAAACTCCACACGACGAGATCATGGGATTTCCTGGGTTTCCCCCAGAATGTGAAAAGAGCAACTGTGGAAAGCGACATTATCATTGGGATGCTCGACACCGGAGTTTGGCCCGAGTCGCAGAGCTTCGACGATTCTGGCTACGGCCCACCTCCACAGAAGTGGAAAGGTGTCTGCCAAAGCTCTTCCAATTTCACCTGCAATAAGTAACCCTCTAAAAAACTGGTCTTTTCACTTTCCCCAAGTCTATAACTGTGATGTTGAGAATTCAAATGCTTTACTATCGCCACTTTGCAGCAAGATCATTGGAGCCAAATACTACCATGGTGGACGCAATTTCAGTGAAGATGAAATTGCCTCCCCCAGGGATTCTGAGGGTCATGGAAGTCACACTGCATCCACAGCAGCAGGGAATATAGTAACTCCAGCTAGCCTCCTTGGCCTTGCTTCCGGGACTGCCCGAGGTGGGGTTCCCTCTGCCCGAATTGCTGTCTACAAGATTTGCTGGGAAGATGGCTGTTGGGATGTCGACATTTTAGCAGCATTCGATGATGCCATTGCTGATGGAGTCGATATAATCTCTCTCTCGGTTGGTAGTTCGCCACAAGATTATTTTGAAGACACTATAGCTATTGGGGCTTTCCATTCCATGAAGAATGGGATTCTCACATCCAATTCAGCTGGTAATGAAGGCCCTTCTCCTGGATCGGTTTCGAATTGCTCTCCTTGGTCGCTCTCTGTGGGTGCTAGCACCATTGACAGAAAGTTCACAACTGGGGTCAGGTTGGGTAATGGAAGAACTTATCAGGTGAGATTTCCAAATGTTATTTGGTGTTGACATCTCTATGCTCATATTTATATGCAGCATAACCTAGGCTTTCTTCTGATATAGGGGATCTCTTTAAACACTTTTGCGCCCAGTAAGGTGTATCCTCTTATCTATGGTGGAGATGCGACGAATACAACACCAGGACATTCAATTGGGGCAAGGTGAAAATTGTTTGAGAATCAAATAAAGAGTTCAACATTATTTCATGTTTTTTGTTTAAATGTGACTGTTGATTCAGGAACAACTGATATATTTTCATGTAATATGAAAAAACTCCAGGTATTGTGATCCAAACAGCTTGGATAGGAATTTGGTGCAAGGGAAAATTGTGCATTGTGATGATGTTAGTGCAGGGGAGGAACAAATTGCAGCGGGTGCAACTGGGGCCATAATGACGACTACTGGTATTGAAGATAATGCATATGCCTTACTTTTACCTGTGTCCATCTTGACCGATGATGAAGGAGTCACCATTGTGGAATACATAAACTCAACTAGGTAGATTTAGAAAGAAAACAAGCAAGTTGAATGTTACTGAAATTTCAAATATAGTTACAAAAATCGGGGAAACGACACTACATCTTGTTAATTATATCTTTTGATGTCTTTGCTAGTGATCCAACTGCACAAATATTCACGACACATGACTTTGTGGATAATTCATCAGCATATGTGATCTACTTTTCTTCAAGAGGGCCAAACCCAATAACAACAGACATTCTCAAGGTACCAGCAAACATCACTTTACAGTTGGCGGCTTGACGCCACTCTTTCGGGCTTATCATGTTGTGACGTGGATTATGTTATGTAGCCTGACCTTACAGCACCTGGAGTTGATATCCTGGCAGCATGGTCCCAAGCTACAACTGTGACAGGTCTTCCTGGAGACGACAGGGTTGTCCCATACAACATAATCTCTGGTACTTCCATGTCCTGCCCCCATGCCTCTGCAGCAGCAGCTTATGTTAAGTCATTCCACCCTACATGGTCCCCGGCAGCCATTAAGTCTGCTCTAATGACGACCGCTCATCCCATAAGTGTTCCAGACGTGCCTGATGCTGAGTTTGGATATGGATCAGGCCAAATTAATCCTTCGAGGGCCATGGATCCTGGACTAGTATATGATGCTGGAGAGATTGACTATGTTCAAATGTTGTGTGGCCAAGGATACAACAGTACACAACTGCGACTTGTCACAGGAGATCAGAGCTCTTGTAGTTCTACAACTACTAATGGTACCGCAGTGTGGGATCTAAACTACCCTTCATTTGCTCTGTCATCAAAGAAGCCCAAGGCTAGAGTTACTCGGGTGTTCCACAGAACTATCACAAATGTTGGGTATGCGCCATCTAACTACACAGCCTTAGTGAGTGCTGAAGTGGGCTTCGATACGATCAGAGTGGAACCAAATGTACTTACGTTCAAGAACATTGGGGAGAAGCAGTCCTTCGTTGTGACGGTCACGGCTGTGTTGGGAAGAGCCATGTTGTCTGGTTCTTTGGTTTGGAGTGATGGTATCCATTCTGTGAGGAGTCCTATTGTCGCATTTGTGGCACCTCGAGAACATAACTGATCAGCTGGTTTGAGTTCAGTGAGGTAAGGTTCGTTCATTCTCGTAATCACTAGATGATAACTCTACCACATTTTCCAATAGCATCAGTCTAGTTGATTTGCGAGTATAGCAGGTTACTGCAATTTGCATAATAATGTTATTTCTTTATAGGAAGTGTAGAATTTCGGGGTGTGTTTCGGATGTAATGTGTGTTTCAGATGTAATGACTAATGAGTGACTTCCTAGTCATCTCTGAATTAATAAAATTCCCGTTCTTGATCCTGCTTGAGGTGTTTGGAAACCACATGCTTGTTTATGAAGTTAAAAAGGTTCGATGTTAGGTGTCGAAGACACTGCGGTGACAAAGAGTAATTTTGTTTCTACATGATAAGACCACTTCTAGAACATCATCCTAAACTTGAAAAGTGAATGCGACTCCTTGTACTTAGCTTAGTCTCATTTATTGATCATTGAGTACCTTTATTCTGTGATATTACTTCACAAGAACTTCAGAAACATGATTTTGAGTTATTGAAATGGATTTCCTTGGAAAGTGTAAAGCAATGGGGAAAAAGGAAGTAAATCTTATTGTTCACAAAGAGTAAAGCTTTTCCACTATCTTGTATCATTCTAGTTGGTCTCGAGCCATGAATTGGCAGTACAGCAGATGAAGACAGACGGGCGGATTTCAGGATTTTCTGCAGGTTTTCAAGTGAGCGAATATGAAAATTACTGTAAAAAAATTGGCATTTTTTGTGGAGCAGGGTTATATATATGCATGAGTGGGAAGTCATTCACAGGATGCAGCTAGCTTCAGAGCGGACATTCATCGCAACATGTTGAATAAGTTGTTGACCAGGTATTGATCCCAACTGTGTCAACTTGAGTCTGATTGCACAACACATATCCGTTTTGGTAATATGCGAGGTGTAATGTTTAACCCTAGTGGCTATCATGTCATTTTTAACAGCCGTGAATTAGGATCAGACTTACTGCTCTGTATCTACTTGTATAGCTTCAGTAAGTTTTGCTTGTCATGTTCACAACAAGAAACGAGTCCTTTGGCAGGTGAAGCAAAAAAATTCAGCAGGAATGACTGCGTTTTGCATCAACATGATTCGAGGTAGCTAGTACATGGAAAATAGAGACTACTACCTGAATGGTGTGGCTTCGCAACATAGAACCATGGTTGTCATACTTCCATCAGCTTGCTGGCTGTGCAGTGTTGTTTTGCTCCGTGAAACCATGGCTAGCTCAGAGTGTACTGATTTGGACACTGGATAAGCAAGTTAACATAGAACTGGAAAACAGAGCACGTGATCTCCTGCCCATATAATTGCTTGTGTGCTATTCATGGCCGGTTCTCACTCGTCAAATCCTATGCTATATTGCTATGGTTTCAGGTAAGAGGATTATCGGGTGCATCCACCACCTTGAATGGATAGATCGTGCATGACAAAAATTCTGCTGCTCACAAGACAAGAGATTTCCGAAAGTGATCAACTTCTACAATCATCTCTACGCTGGAATCAAAGCCTCAAGGCATTTGTGATATTTAATGGGGTTCCCAAGAACTTCAGCAACCAGTTTGTCTACGAGTTGCAGAAGCCTCGGTAATGCCTACCTTGAACCAGTTTTGTCTTTTGTTTTTGTTGTAAATATACTCAGCCGTTTGTTAAAGTTAATGGGATTTTGCAATACGAAATTGAGGCTACACCGCTACAGTGTAATAATATCTTATATCCTTCAACAATATAATAATTACTTTTATGGGTTATGTGGGGAGGAAAAATAGTTAGATCGTATACCATACTAAACAAAATTAAACTGTATATAAAACATTTGTCCATTATTTACTTGAAGAAGGAAAACTGTGAATTAAGATAAAAACATAATTGAGAGGGTAGCCAAAAATGAAAAGACAAGAACCAACATTGTTTGACAGTAATCAAAGGGAGGAAAACATGTCTCTTGTTGTTTAATGGAAGATACAGTGATCTTCATTAATGATGCAGACCAACTTCTGCTAATATAAAAAGCTCATCGATTCCCTTCTTATGAAATGCTCAACCAGCAGGTCTCCAATGGCATCAAAACTTCCATCTGTGGTTCAGATCATATTGATTGGTCTCACTAGTAACCTGATTCTTAGCTGCTGTCATGGCTATGTTGCAGCCGAAAATAGACAGGCAAGTAAATCAGCTCCTTAACATCATAAGAGAAAGATCACAAGTTTCTGTTTTTCTGTTTCAGAATGAACGGATTATGAAAGTATTACTAACGAAATGTTGGTGAATTTATTGGATACTCAGGCTTACATTGTGTACATGGGAAGTCATTCACAGAAGGAAGTATCAGCAACAGAGATTCATACCAATATGATGGAAGAAGTGGTTGGCAGGTTTTTGCCTAACTTAATTACCTCTCTTTCAGAATCTGATCTTCAGGAACTTATTGTTTGGGTTTTGTTCTTCCCCTAATGTTTTGGTCCTGTTAATTTTAACAGTGGTGGGTCAGACCATATGTTGTATAGCTACAAGAGAAGCTTCAGTGGTTTTGCCGCCATGCTAACAAGCGAGGAGGTGCAGAAGCTGACAAGTGAGTAAAATATGCAGGATTTATTGAGATGAGCTGTTTCTTAACAAATGATCTGCTGTATGACAAGAGCTTCTTTTTTCTCAGGAATGGAGGGAGTGATATCTGTTTTCCCCAATGGAAAGATGCAGCTTCACACAACAAGATCATGGACCTTTATTGGCCTTACAGGGAAATCTGAAAGAAGACCATTAGAGAGGGACATGATCATCGGGATGCTTGACACAGGAATTTGGCCAGAATCTGAGAGTTTCTCAGATGAAGGGTTTGGTCCACCTCCTCAAAAATGGAAGGGAACATGCATGAAGTCAGAAAATTTCACCTGCAACAAGTAAAACCCACAAGTCCTTTTGGTGAAGCAGCACAATTCTTCTCCTCTATTTTGTTATCTTGATGTAATTTTGATCTGTTTCGTTTGCAGCAAGATAATTGGAGCTAAGTACTACAGGGTAACAGGGAACTTCTCCCTTGATGTGGCTTCACCAAGAGATACAGAAGGCCATGGTTCCCATACTGCATCAACAGCAGCAGGAAACTTTGTCCCCAAGGCAAGCCTTGAAGGGCTTGGCTTGGGAACAGCTCGAGGCGGGGCACCATCTGCTCGAATTGCAGTCTATAAGATTTGTTGGGCTGATGGTTGTTATGATGCTGATATACTGGCTGCATTCGATGATGCCATCGCTGACGGAGTTGACATAATCTCTGTCTCCCTCGGAGCTACTAACCCAAAGGGATACTTCGAGGACTCCATCGCCATTGGGACGTTCCACGCTATGCGACATGGCATTCTTACCTCCACTTCTGCTGGCAATGATGGTCCCACTCCAGGATCAGTCAACAACGCTGCACCTTGGCTTCTGTCTGTAGCAGCTAGCAGCATAGACAGGAAGTTTATGACGAAAATTCAGCTGGGAAATGGAGCTTCGTATGAGGTTAGCATATGGAAGTTTAACTTACACCTCTCTTTATCTATGTGGTTCCATCTTTAGGCTGAAAATGTTTGTTGCCATGTAGGGTGTTTCAATCAATACTGTTAATCTTTATCCCACAATGTACCCCATTATATACGGTGGCCGTGCCCCAACATTGAAGAAACCAAACGTCACTGCAGCGAGGTAACCCGAACAGCGCAACAATAGCATAACGTCAATGTGTGTTTTGATCTCAGAAGTATCTGATCAATTCTGCGTGGTGAAAATGCAGAAATTGCCAGAAAGGGTCATTGGAAAGGAGATTGGTGAGAGGAAAGATTGTTCTTTGTGACTTAATCGTTAATGGAGAGTCAGTTTCTGCAGCAGGAGGAGTTGGTGCAATGATGCAAGACAACACATACAATGATGTTGCTTACAATTTTGCTGTCCCAGCTTCCCACTTTGGTCCCGATCCCGGATCTAAAATCTCAGCTTATGTGAAACAAACTGAGTGAGTCATTTCTCTCTTTTCAAAGCTTTCCAAACTGAGTTGAAGCTAAACAGAGATGTTCTGTTCTGTTCTGTTTCAGAAATGCAACTGCAACAATGTTCAAGAGTATCCACCAAAGGGACGACTCAGCTCCATACATAGTTGGGTTCTCATCCAGAGGGCCTAATGCCATAACAAAAGACATCCTGAAGCCCGACATTGCAGCTCCCGGTTCGGACATCCTGGCTGCTTGGTCACCAGCTACCACAGTGACAGGACTAGTGGGAGACAAAAGGGTGACAAATTACAACATCATCTCAGGCACATCCATGGCTTGCCCTCACGCAACTGGAGTAGCTGCATACGTCAAGTCATTCCAACCAACTTGGTCCCCTGCTGCCCTTAGGTCTGCTCTAATGACAACAGCAATGCCAATGAGCCGCGCCAAGAACCACGATGCAGAATTCGCGTACGGTGCAGGGCTGATAAACCCTGTCAAGGCAGTAGACCCCGGCCTGGTATACGATGCTGCTGAGGAAGAGTACGTTCACTTCTTGTGTGGACAAGGCTATAACAGCACACAAATTCAGATTCTCACCGGGGAGGACATCCACTGCAGCAATGAGAAGAAGCTGGCAGTGTGGGATTTGAACTACCCTTCGCTTACCTTGTCTGTCAAGCCTGGTGGTGGCAGCGTGACGAGGGTGTTTCATAGAACTGTGACGAATGTAGGGAGCCGTGGATCATGTACTTACAAGGCCATAGTCAAGGTTCCTGAAGAAGTTGTGGTTAAAGTTAGACCTTCAGTTCTGACATTCCAGTCTGTTGGGGAGAGCAAGTCGTTCACTGTAACTGTGGTGGTGAAGTTGGGCAAAAACTCTGTATCTGGGGCTTTGATCTGGGATGATGGAGAACATACTGTGAGAAGCCCTATAGTTGCTTACCCTTTGATGAATTGATACTCTCATAAGAGTTCCTTTTCAGGATCATTACCCGTGTATAACTTGCTCATCTTCAAAGTAATATGACCTTTGAAAAGGCTAATCTGACCTTTTCAAAGTACTAACTTATACACAAATGGGTTTCAATCTTCAACGGAGATGCATCGGATTCGATTCTATACAGCTACAGGAAGAGCTTTAATGGGCTTGCTGCAATGTTGACACCTGAGGGAGTGAAAATCTGGCTGATTAGTAACAGTTGATGCTATGTGCTCTTATATATATGTATATTCCCTTCATCTGATTGACTACATGTACATTTTCATGATATCATTTCCATTTCCCCAATAGGAAGAACCAACTCCACAGTACAAAATCCTGACATTTGTGGACAGGAATCGAAAAGTTTCAGGGTTTGAGGAATAAAAATAAATGTCTGAGCCCAGGTTCGAACTGGGGACCTTTAGTGTGTGAGACTAACGTGATAACCAACTACACCACCCAGACAATTTGATTTGAGTAGACAAATTATTTATCATATAACGTCTGTGCTCACGGCAAAAGCTCGCCAAACCTTGGTTCTGAATGTGCGACAGGGTGCTTTAATCAACTTGATTGATCTTTAGCGGAAAGATGTATCTTGTCATTTACAGTGGGGAGGCTCTGAATATCACAGGAGGATTTCAATGCATAAAAGTCCCAAGTAATGGAAGAAATTGATATATCATATATGTTGTGTTAGTAAGCTATATTTGCGATGACTCGTTGAACAAGATACGTGTGAAAGAAATCAGTCGAAGAACAAATAAAGTTGTGGATTATTTTGAAGTGGGCAAAAAGACTCATGTTCGGAATCTTAACTACCCTTCTTTCGCCCTGTCATGAAAACTCCGTGGTAACTGTGATGTATTCTAAAGAGGTTAAGATCAAGGTGAATCCAAAATTGATGAGGTTTAAGGGTGTGGGTGAAACATTGACGTTTCGTCACGGTGAAGGCAAAACTGAAGTCTAAATTTTCCAATAAGAGCCGAGTTTGTACTTAAATATACGGTCGGGGGTTGATATCGAAATAGTTAGTGATAAAGTAATTTATATTAAAATTATGGCTTAGTTATTGTTTAATCATTTCTTAAAACTAAAATTGTCAATTAATTTGAAATCGATGTCCGATATTTCCGGTCCTGAGTCGGTGGTTTTTAAATGAGTTAATGAGCAATCGAAGTCGAAGGTGTAAGTTCGAAGTTCGGCTATCCGTATAAGATCCATGTCTGGCCCTAGGCGAGCCCGGCCCAGCGCCGGCCCGGTTCATTGGTACACCCTGACTCCTGAACTGAAGCCACATTTTCTTTTGTCAATTTTGACATCATAAAATCAGGGTCGACTGGGCTGTAAGCCAGCCGCCAGCGCCGCGGCTCGACTCCCAGCAAGCAGCAACTCGTCGTCGCTGCTGCCTTCCTTCCCCACTATAAATAACACTTCAAATCCTTCTTGCTGGGGCTTCACTTCTCTGTCGTCATAGCACATTGACGGCGGCGCCAATACCCCTACTCCCGCCGGTAGCCGCATTCTGGCAACTCTGGTTTGACAGCCAAGTAGAGGTAACTTTCCTCTTAAAAGTAAGTTCTTTGATCGTGTTTCTCTCTGTTTTTTGTTCCCGCTTTTATGGACAGTGGACTTCGCCTATATTGCTGAATTGTGTATAATTCCTTATGCATGAAGATGGAGGACGGTGAGATGAGTGACGATGGTGATGTAGAGCTTGCTGCCGCCATCGATGACATTGCCCTTGATGACGAAGAAGGTACTGCTTAACTTTATTGACCCAATGTTTAAGATGCCGTGACAAGCAAATTCTTAGCTGATCTTTGAGGTTCTTACGATTAAATTAACTCGAATGATAACTCTTTATGTATTTTGCTTCTGTAATCAGAGGATGCGGATGATTCTGTGCACACATTCATAGGGCATACATGTGAGGATCTCATTGTTATTGCGTTTAGGGTTTCTGTGATGCAGTATTGAGTAGCTGTAGTAGTTTATCATGAGTTCTGACTATATTCACAGTCCTTTTGTTTATTAATTTCTTGTTGCAGCTGAAGTTTATGTAGCTGCTTGCAGCCCAACAGATCCTTCACTGGTAGCAACTGGAGGTGCTGATGAAAGAGGGTTTCTTTGGAGGATAGGACAGGGAGATTGGGCTGCTGAACTAGGAGGTATATGCTCTATATGTACATGATTGCACGAATCGCTTATTGCTTCATCCTTTTGGGAAACGTCAAGTCATAGTGTTATATAAATTAACATTCTCTGCTCGAACCCTTTTCTTCAACCTAATTGAAGGTCATAGGGAGTCCGTTACTAGCTTAGCATTCAGTAGCGATGGACAGTTTCTTGCATCTGGAGGGCTTGATTCTGTGGTTAAAATCTGGGATGAATCTGGAAATCTTATATGTACTCTTGGAGACCATGTTGAGAATGAACAAATAGAGGAAGGTACTCTTGGAGACCATGTTGAGAATGAGCAAAAAGAGGATCCTCCTACGGACGGCCTTGAGGTGTAGTGATTTCGTTATCTCTGGTGGTATATACTATCTACCCATTGGTAATCTAATGAGACTAATCAGGTTACTTATATTCACAGTTGGTCCGGTGGCAGCCTGGAGGTCATCTAGTCTTGGCTGTTTCAAATGATGGCACTGCTTGGGTGTGGGATGCCGATACAGGTTCTTGCATCAGTGTGTTTTACGGTCACAATGATCCTATTACCTGTGGAGATTTCACCCCTGATGGTATTATTTGGGATATTCTTCCTGCTTCTGCTGATTTATTGTAAAAGAAAAAACAGTGTTTCATGTTTGTTCACATTTGGCTGCCTTTCGTTGAAATCTTCTTAATCTCATTTTGACTGATGCAGGCAGAACTATCTGCACTGGTTCTGGCGATAAGAGTTTGAGAATATGGAATCTGGAAACTGGGCAATGTGTACACGTTGTAAGAGGTAATATGTGCAGTTGAGGTTTATGTTTGCTTACATTTTGATCTCTGATATTAGTCAAGCCATACTGAAACTTATTTCTCTTACAACTCACATATGGAATGATGATGAAAGAATTCGAGTAGTATTGTAGTTAACAACCACTTTTTGTGAATGTTTTACAAATCATATCCGATTTTTTGACATGGATTCCATAATCTTTCTGCTTGTAGGGCATCCGTATCACAAAGCAGGGCTAACTTGCTTATCCATTACCTCGAATCCAACTCGCCCTCTGGCTATAACCGGTGCTTCAGATGGTTCTGTGAAGATTGTGAACATTGAGAATGGAAGGGTTTGCAACTTCTCCTGTGATGCCTAAACAACTTTCTTCATCCACCTGTTAGCTCAAACAAAACATTGGGCGTGTTTCAACTTTGTGTATGTGTGTGTGTGTCCAACAGGTGGTGAGTACCTTATCTGGTCACTCAGATTCAGTTTCATCCATTGCTCTGCCAGGTTCACCAAGGTAATATGTCAATTACAAGCTCCAGACTCTTTTCATCCCTGTGTATGCCCAAGATTGTTCACCACAATAAAATTAAATTTCGTGTTCCCTGTTAATCCAACATCTATATCCCTGACCAGCTTCCCTTGGGCGGCAACTGGAGGCAAGGATCAGCAACTTATTATCTGGGATCTGCAACGTTCAGTTCCTCGTAGCATCTACTATCATGAGGTCTAGTTGCTTGTACTTCCTTTCGTGTTACAGTTTCGTATTTTCTTTGCGACCCCAGAATCTAACTGTAAGTAGGGCTATGTCAAATATGTGTGTTACTGATGCAGAGTGAATTGACTTGCTTAACATGGATAGGCACATCGAGGTTAGTTGCTGCAGGATGTGCAGACGGTGCTATAGTGGTATGGGACGCTAGAGATGGAACCAAGGTGAGCACAATCAAGGGCCACACCGAATGCATACAGTCCTTGGCCGTGAGCTCTGATCAAGCTTTCCTGGTCTCGGTCTCATATGATGGCACTGCTAGGGTCTTTGACATTGAGGATTGGAAATAAAACCCCAAGCAATCATATCTCGGCCCTTTTTTTCTGATTTCTGAAGCAAACCTCAGCTTCATCGGATTCTATATCGGATTTTTGGCTGCCAAGTAGAGAAGAATGCTAGCTATTTATGATATGAATAAACGCTGTTTAGAGCAGGTAATTGATTTTCAGCTAGTATTGGATTGGAGTTATGTTGCTCATGTGCAAGTTCTTTAATTTGGGATGTGATCACTAATTGGCTCTGCGAATACTTACTAACCATTCACCAAATAAATCAGCAACACTCCAGCTTCACTAGTGATCTAGCATTAGCACCTACAACACCTTTGACAAAACTCTATAAACAATTTTTTCTACAAAGACTTGGTCTAGTGGTATTACTTCTAGTTTCAATTTGAAGATATTAAGTCAAAAAAATTTGTCAATTTCAGCATACGACCAATTTTTCCAACGACGAGAGCCAATTACGACATTGAAATTTTGATGGAAAAATACCATCATAAGATTAACGTGACTAGTTGTTGTCTATAATCATCCTTTTTGGTTTCTTAATAAATCCACTATATTTATTAGCAAAAAAAAAAAAAAAAAAAAAAACAGGGGCAATACTGTAATCCCGTGGAGGTCAAGTTAGGCAGAGTTGGTAGTAAAGAAAATCGGATTGGAATAATATCAAACTGGGTTTTCATAAGATAACCCAAAATAAGTTCTATATCAAGTTGTTAACAGAGTTTATCTGAAATATATTATGTTTCTCCTTGTGTTTAGGTGAAAATATCGTCTCTTTTTTTCTCCTCTATAAATACTAGTACTAGATACTTAACCTCCCAGTTTTCATTTGACAGTCAGCAGCCATGGTGATCACACAAAGAACAATGAATCGTCACTTGATTGGTATCATCAAACTAGTGGTAGTACTTACAGCAATTGTTTTATGTGGACCTGTAAAAGGATCACCCACTTCTTCTTCTTCTTCTTCTGCCCAAGAAAGAAAGGTCAGATCCAAATCAAATTCCTCTCTTCTTCTTCTTCCTTTCTCTAGTCTGGATTTATATGAAGCAATTAATTAACGTTAATGAGTCTTATAACTAATTATCACAGACTTACATTGTGTACATGGGAAGTGTATCCGCTGAGAAGAACAATGATAACCATCTCCTTGCTGCCCATCGTCACCACAATTTGCTTTCCTCTTTGCTCGGAGAGTAAGTAGTGATGATGATGATGATGATTCCTTAATCATGTTTACTCCATTATTAATCTCACAGAGTCACAGCCTGTTTTTCAAATCAATTTTCTTTATTTCAGCGAGGATTTAGCTCAACAAGTCAGACTCACCTCTTATGGCAAGAGTTTCGACGGATTTGCCGCAAATTTACTCCCACAAGAGGCTGAGTGGCTACAAGGTATGCTTACTGATTTTTTTTTTTTCCTTTTCTTTTCATCACTTTGATTAGTTACATTGATTACTCTGTCGATAATCGTAAGATATGGGAGCTGACACGATATACTCAATTCGAGTAATTAATTAATTATGATCAATTTGTGTAGAAAACGAAAATGTGGTATCGGTGTTTCTATCGGGAACAAAGCAGCTCTCCACAACTTGGTCTTGGGATTACCTGGACATGCCTCTCTCGGTTCAAAGAAATTTCGATATGGAGTCCGATATTATCATTGGCATGATTGACAGCGGTAAAAAATAATCAATTTAACCTATTTAATTACCATCCTCTTTTACTTTTAGTTAGAATAATCATCTTTCATTTTTCTTCTTCTTCGTTTCAAAACAATTGACCTTCATGCAGGAATCAACGTCGATGCTCCGAGCTTTAGTGACAAGGGATTGGGCCCACCTCCGGCGAAGTGGAAGGGAATCTGCCAAAAGGGACTCAACTTCACTGGCTGCAACAAGTAATTAATTATAATAATGTCATTAAATTTTGATTTTTAATCACCAGCTGGATTAATTAATTAATGTTTTTCCCCCCAGTAAGGTGATTGGGGCGAGAGCGTATGACGTGGGCAACCTAGAAACCACGCCGCTGACGCCACTCGACGACACGGAAGGCCACGGGACCCACACGGCCTCCACGGTGGCCGGCTCAGCCGTCGGCGGAGCCAGCTTCCGCGGCCTGGCTAAAGGCACGGCGCGAGGCGGCGTCCCGTCGGCTCGGCTCGCCATCTACAAAGTGTGCGGGCCCAAAGCCGCTTGCACCGACGCCAACCTGATGTCGGCCCTGGATGACGCCATCCACGACGGCGTCGACGTCATATCGATGTCGCTGGGCGCTCCAGCGATGGACTATTTCAAGGATCCGGTGGCCATCGGTTCGTTCCACGCCATGGAGAAAGGAATCATAGTCAGCGCCGCGGCTGGTAACAAAGGTGAAATGGGTCAGGTCGAGAACGTCGCCCCGTGGATTCTGACCGTCGCCGCTAGCCGCACCGGCAAGCAGTTGAGGACTCCAATCGTGCTCGGGAACCGCTTTGCTACTCTGGTAAATCAAGAACTAATAATTTAATGATGAGTTATCCTCCATAAATTGGCCATTTCAATTAATTCATTTTTACCAAAAATATTAGCTTTTTTTTCTTTTTAAGTGTTACCTACAATGGATATATAACTCCCTAAAGAAGTGCTACAGCCTACAGAACATCGTTTGTTTATCTATTTATAAAGACATAATATAATATGAGTTGGTTTTAATATTCATGTATAAGTGAACAAATCCGAGTTATTTTAAGCTTTTTTAATGGTTTTGTTATTTTACGACCTTCTAGTATAAGAGCAATTTTTTCATCTCACTTAAAACATAAACATAAAAGCTATCGTTGAGGAAATCATTGATCGGGCAATACCAATAAGACAACAAGATAATGATTTTAAGGAGATGGATCCAAATATCAACAGATTCTCAATCCACATTTTTATCCAAATAAATTATAAAATAATCGTATTTGAACTAAACTATATAACAATAATTGATAATTTTGTTTTTATCGTTGAATACCTTCTTCAATATGTTTGTGTGCAGGGTATTACATTTAACTACCTCTCCACGAAGAAATGGTACCCCATTACTAACGTAGCAAAAGCTACTAACGACAGCAATAATGCAGCCTCAGGGTAATTAAAGAAGCTTCTTTGCTAATAACCATTTTACTTTGTATATTGTTTAGTTAAAAGCATAATTTATAAATACATCGTTACGTAATGTGAACCAAATTAACAGGGAGTGTGACACGAATAATTTGGACCCAAAGAAGGTGCAAGGAAAAATAGTTTACTGCAAGAACGGCGAATCGGCTCCTCTTGATACCTTGAGCGAGTTTGGTGCTGTTGGACTCATCGGAGATGCCGTTTCCTGGTACCCCGACTTCCCCCAAACTTACCCAATGCCGGCGTCGCTGCTCGATCCGACGCGCGGCCAGATTGTCGATGGCTACATTAATTCTACCAAGTACGTACCTTCAAATAATCAAATGCTTATGTTTTTTTTTTTTTTATAAAGGTGAGAATAGCATTAATCAAAATGCTTAATTATGTTAATTACTTCGGCGGCAACAGAATGATCAGGACTTTATTGAATGCAGGGATCCTCGAGCATATATATTGAAGACCACGGGTGTCAACGTCACTGCTCCGGCCGTTGCAGTTTTCTCGTCCAGAGGTCCCAACCAGCAGTCCAGAACTATTTTGAAGGTTTGTCGTCTGTGACATTAAATGAAAATATCCAAACCCTAATTGTTAGCGATAATTAGCTGTAATTCATGAAATTATGTGAATAATTTTGCACAGCCGGACGTCATGGCGCCGGGAGTGAACATCCTGGCAGCTTTCCCGCCGTATCTACCCGGGGAAGATAACTCATACGGCCATCCTTTCAGATTCTTGAGTGGCACCTCCATGGCTTGTCCCCATGCCATCGCCGCCGCCGCCTTTGTCAAGTCCCACCGACCACATTGGTCTCCCGCCGCCGTCAAATCCGCCCTCATGACCACCGGTACGTATACAATATATTAATTCTTCCACTACCATGCACAATTTTTCTACCTATCATAAACCAAAAAAAAAAAAAAAAAAAAGAGAACACCAAAAAAATTGATGACTAAAATGACGCTTCTCGATCTATTCACGATTTTCAGCGCGGGTTGCGAAAGAGCAAAATCCACTGGCGGAGTACGCGTACGGGTCGGGCGAAATCGACCCGGTGAAGGCACTGGATCCGGGGCTGGTATACGACATGTCGTTTTTGGACTACGTCCGTTTTCTCTGCTCGGAGGGCTACTCCAACACGTCGTTGAGCATAATGACGGACGGAGGAGACGTGAGCTGCCCGTCGCCGTCTAAATACTCCGACACCCGTGACTTCGTCAACTACCCGTCCATGAACCTCCAGGTGGCACTCGACTCCACGTCACCGTACGCTGCCGTTTTCGAGCGCACAGTCACCAACGTGGGGCCAGCGAAGTCAACTTACGTGGCAACAACGACGGCTCCAGCAGGGATGTTGGAAATGTGTATGAATAGCTTTGAAAGCTATAGAGTCTCAAGTGGAAAAACTACCACATTGGTAGTTTTACTTGGTGAAGTGATTATAAAGATAGGAGCCTCTCTCCTAAGGGCATGCCCCTTGGGGTGACCCACTTTTGTGGGAGAGGGAGGACCTAACGGACCACCACACACGCGCGCGCCGTCCGTCCGACCGGCCGGTTGGTTGGTTGGTTGGATGGATGGATGGATGGATGGATCACTTGAGACTATATACATATTTTTTGGAGAAATTCCGAACGAAATTAATTATTTAATAATTAATTATTGATCGGTTACTCTGAGGAATGTTCCAAGGGATAATCGATTGAAAAGGAATATTCGAAGGATAATCTCCGCAGGATTTATCCTAACCGACGGTTTTAATTAAGGAAGTAATTATCTTCCTTAATTAATCCGACTTATTCCCCAAGCAAGAGGGTATATTCCTAGGGGTTCGGCTCCTATAAATAGCCGCCTCCCCAGCCCCTCTAAACACACAACAACGAGCATAAACACAATAGAGAGAGTGTTCAGAGAGCTCCGGTTTTCGCACAAAACCGCGAGTACCCAGAGGAGCTGTTTTATCCTGGAGACGACCGGTTGATAGTCTGCCGTGCGCAACGAGGGCAGTGCCGCGAACGTCTTAAAGAAAGCGACCTAGTCCGCGACTCAGCTCCAGATTCGGTATCCTCATCTTGTTGTTGTTCCGTTTCTAACAATTTTAAGACGTTCGGCTGCTGCTATGTCGACTGAACAGAACAACATGGCCGGATCTGGTGCTGTCGATATCAATCGACCGTTTCGCTTCGTTGGAGTCAACTTTCGTCGCTGGAAACAAAAGATGGAGTTTTACCTGACGACCAAGAAGTTGGCACACTGCCTCACTAGCATGCCCGTCGAGCTGCCGGAAGAAGCGACCGATGAGGAGAGGACTGCTGCTGCTAAGGAAAGGGAGCATGACTTCCTATGCAAGGGCTACATCCTCAACGGCCTGGCAGACGACCTCTACGACTATTATGCGGACAGCAAGAACACCGCAATGATGGTCTGGGATGCGCTCCAAAAGAAGTACGACACGGAGGAGGCTGGAGCTAAGAAGTATGCTGTCAGCCGCTACCTGCGCTATCAGATGGTGGATGACAAGTCTGTCGAAGTTCAGTCCCACGAACTTCAGAAAATAGCTCACGAGATCGTCTCTGAAGGTATGCCTCTGGACGATCAATTTCAAGTTGCTTGCATTATTGATAAGCTGCCCCCTTCGTGGAAAGATTTTAAGAATATGCTTAGACATAAAACCAAAGAATTTTCACTGGAAAGTTTGATTACTCGCCTAAGGATTGAGGAAGAGTCCCGCAAGCAGGATATGAAAGAAGAGGTGATGGTCGTCACTGCTAAACGACCCACCCCTAGAGCTCTTAAACCTAACCAGAAAGGGTTTAAGGGTAAGAACCAGCAGGTCCGCCCCCACCAGAATGGTGCCTCTCGAGGTAACCAAAGGGTCATGGCCCACACCTCTAAGAATGACCCACCGTTTATCTGCTTTAACTGCGGAAAACCGGGTCATATGGCAAAAAAGTGCAGGAACAAGCATAACCCCGCCGCTGCGGCCAGGGTTAACTTGACAGAAGAGGATTTGGTAGCCATGATCACAGATATGATCGCTGAAGTTAACCTCACCGGTGACTCAGAAGGATGGTGGCTGGATACAGGTGCATCGAAGCATGTATGCAACAATCGTGCTATGTTTAAAACATACGAAGAAGCACCTGCTGACAAGAAAGTGTTGTTGGGAACTACTCACACCACCATGGTTGCTGGTTCTGGTGAAGTGGAGCTGAACTTCACCTCTGGGAAGAAGATGGTGCTCAAAGATGTGTTGCACACTCCAGAGATAAGGAAGAATCTTGTTTCGGGATATCTTCTTAATAAGGCTGGGTTTAATCAATCTATTGGGGCAGACTTGTATACCCTTACTAAGAATGGGAGTTTTGTGGGAAAGGGATATGCATGTAATGGGATGTTCAAGTTGAATGTCGAAATTAATAAGATGAATTCTTCAGTTTACATGGTGTGTGATTTGAATGTTTGGCATGCTCGTCTTTGTCATGTGAACACACGAATTGTGAAGAATTTAAGCAAGCTAGGGCATATCCCTAAACTCTCAATGAATGAATTTGATAAATGTGATTTCTGTAGCCAAGCTAAAATAACGAAAACGCCCCATAAATCTGTGAGTAAAGAATCAGAACCCTTAGATCTGATTCATTCTGATATTTGTGAACTAGATGGGACGTTAACTAGGTCTGGCAAGAGATACTTTATCACTTTCATAGATGATTGCTCTGATTATTGCTTTGTTTATTTGATGAAAAACAAAAGTGAAGCCCTTGACATGTTCAAGGTATTTGTGGTTGAATTCGAAAATCAGTGCAATCAAAAGATAAAAAGACTTAGGAGCGATAGAGGATCAGAGTATGACTCTAATCTCTTCAAGGAATTCTATAGCTCACATGGTATCATTCATGAAACCACGACACCATATTCACCAGAAATGAATGGTAAAGCTGAGCGGAAAAATAGGACATTTACAGAATTAGTTGTGGCTATTATGCTCAATTCTGGAGCTGCTTCTTCTTGGTGGGGTGATATTTTGTTGACGGTTTGCTATGTGCTAAATCGTCTTCCAAAAACAAATAGAAAAGAATCACCCTATGAGATTTTGAAGAATAAGCCACCTAATCTGTCCTATTTAAGAACGTTTGGCCTACGTAAGAATTCCTGATCCTAAGAGGGTTAAGTTGGCCAGTCGAGCATATGAATGTGTCTTCGTTGGCTATGCGGCCAATAGTAAGGCATATAGATTCTATGATTTGAATGCTCGTACTGTAATAGAATCCATTGATGCTGATTTCTTTGAGACACGATTTCCATTTAAAACGAGAAATAGTGGGGGTAATGTACTACCCGCTATTATAGATAACGGAACTAGTGGGGGTGTTGGATCTGAGGATGAACTCAGAAGAAGTAAAAGAGCTAGAATCTCTAAAGATTTTGGTGATGACTTTACTACAGTATACACCCTAGAGGATCCAAAAAGTTTGCAGGAAGCACTAACTTCCATAGATGCAGACTTTTGGAATGAGGCCGTTATAGATGAAATGGAATCGTTAGAGGCTAATAAGACTTGGCATCTAACAGACTTACCTCCTGGCTGCAAAGTCTTAGGTAATAAATGGGTTCTAAAAACGAAACGGAAACCTGATGGTGCAATCGAAAGGTTCCGAGCTCGCCTAGTAGTCAAGGGCTACAGGCAGAGAGAGAATATAGATTTCTTCGACACCTATTCACCAGTATCTAGAATAACATCCATTCGTGTCATGATTGCTCTTGCTGCCTTGAACAATCTCGTGGTACACCAAATGGATGTTAAGACTGCTTTTTTGAACGGTGATCTAGATGAAGAAATCTATATGGAACAACCAGAAGGGTTTGTTATCCCTGAACATGCCTCGAAAGTCTGTAAGTTGGACAAATCATTATATGGTTTGAAACAGGCTCCAAAACAGTGGCATGAGAAGTTTGACACTCTCGTTCTCTCACATGGCTTTAAGGTAAATGAAAGTGACAAGTGTATTTACTGCAAGTCAGAGAATAACACTTGCACTATCATATGTTTGTATGTAGATGACATGTTGATATTTGGCACAAATATTCACGTGGTCAATGAAGCGAAAGCCATGTTAAAAGAGAGCTTTGAGGTGAAAGATCTGGGAGAAGCAAAGTTTATGCTTGGAATCCAGATAACTAGAACAGCAAATGGTTATTCTCTAGATCAATCTAGTTACATAGAGAAGATCTTGAAGAAGTATAACTATTTCGACTGTAAACCTGCGTGTACTCCGTATGATGCTAGTGTAAAGCTATTCAAGAACACTGGAGACAGTGTAAGACAAACAGAATATGCTAGCATCATTGGCAGTCTCCGTTATGCTGCGGATTACACTCGACCAGACATTGCATATGTCGTGGGATTGCTTGGCAGGTTTAACAGCTGTCCTAGTAGAGAGCATTGGAATGCTATAGAGAGGGTCATGAGATACCTCAAGAGAACAGCAAACCTTGGTATACACTATCAAAGGTTTCCGGCTGTACTAGAAGGGTATAGTGATGCGGATTGGAATACCCTATCAGATGACTCCAAGGCAACCAGCGGATATGTTTTTAACATCGCTGGTGGAGCTGTGTCTTGGAAGTCAAAGAAACAAACAATCCTAGCTCAATCAACTATGGAATCAGAGATGATAGCACTAGCAACGGCTAGTGAAGAAGCAAGTTGGTTGAGAGGATTGTTGTCAGAGATTCCCTTATGGGAAAGCCCGGTCCCTCCGGTATTGATACATTGTGATAGTACCGCAGCTATCGCTAAAGTCGAGAACCGGTTCTATAACGGAAAGAAACGACAGATTCGTCGTAAGCACAGTACTGTTAGAGAACTCCTAACGATAGGAGCAGTGAGGGTGGATCATATAAGATCCGAACAGAATCTAGCTGATCCTTTGACGAAAGGATTACCTAGAGAGAAAGTCCAGAATACCGCCAAGGGTATGGGACTTATGCCTACCGAACCACGGACTACAAGTGATGGTAACCCGACCCAATAGACTGGAGATCCCAAGAAATGGGTTCAATGGGTAATAACAAGTCATGAGTAGTATGCGAAAAGTTCATGCATAATGAAGCATGAATCCCAAAGCAATGGAGGTTGAGTTAATAACTCTTAATGAGATCTATACCCTAT